TATCAAACTCAAGAGCAAACTTAGAAATCTCCTCCTCAAACCTACAAGTCACCATACATATCTGGGCTTATCACACCAACAACAGAAGCAATACTACTCAACGATTGCTGAAAACTCTTCTACTACATCTGTTTATGCTACATACATCACGGCATATCATTTGGACACTCATTGAACAAGTTATTAAGAAAATCTCCTCCTTAAGGGGGTGGGCCAATACTACCACATGGCATATCTCTACCAACTAGAGGCCTAGGAACATGAACGATAGCTCTAGAAGCTTCTACAACCCTCTATGATTCATTACACGTCATCGCTCCTTAGTTACCCACAAGATTGGTTAAGTTATGACATAATTTGTCTATAGGTACTCTGACCTTGGACCTCCTTTTCACTTCCTATAGGCTAGGAACCCAAGAGATGGTTCTATGGGATTCTCTTACGTTCACTACATGATTAGCAAGCTAGTTGTGGGTCGCACTTGATTTCTAATACATTTACCAAGCCTGGTTAGTCATGGAAAGTCATGGAAAATAAGAGAACTACACTCCTTTGGCATAAATAGGATTGCCCTTTCCTTAAGAAAGGGCAAGCAGGCAATACAGTAAATCGACTAGCACATACTTCTACGTCTTTTCCAAGCTTCCAAGCATTGATCTTGTTATTCTCTGTTTTTTGAAAAGTCAGTGAGGTGCTAACCTCTGACTTACCCCTGAGTTCCCAGACTCAACATTTGTTGCAACTTGTCTAAACCACTTCACCACATCATACACCTGATTGCTGCGTTGTGGAATAGTCTAAGCTACAACCCTTTGGCTCTGTTTCCTAAGACAGTGTGTTGTCTTAGTAAATTCATCCCTTCCTTGGGTGGCTAGATTCTCATATCTGGTGCACCCACCATTACAAACCTGCTTCGCATGAATTGCTGCAAGCTGCGTCACTGGTTTGGTTACTATAATGATTATTATAGAGGTGTAGGTTCACTTACTCTCGAACTCCTTGACCAGTGTCATCTCGGCTGCTTCCTGTAGTGCATACTACAGATGATTGGAGTCGAAAATCCACCTTGAGGTCAACTATGATTTCATGGATAAGTTGGATGAAAGGCGCACGTGGGATGAGAGGCTCCATCGATTTTTGGTATCTCTTGATCTGACGAAGTGCAACAACTGTTCTAGGTTAGTAGGAAGGTCTATAGTAATCATTATAGTAATCAGCTTACCTCCAGACTTCCAGCGACACTTTAGCTTGAGTGGTGCATTGGCTGCAGTGTTTGTTGTAATGGTGGGTGCACCAGATGTGAGAATCTAGCCACCCAAGGAAGGGATGATTTTACTAAGACAACACACTGTCTTAGAAAAAGAGCCAAAGGGTCGTAGCTTAGACTATTCCACAACGCAGCAATCAAGTGTATGATGTAGTGGAGTGGTTTAGACAAGTTGTACAAATGTTGAGTCTGAGAACTCAGGGATAAGTCAGAGGTTAGCACCTCACTGACTTTTCAGAAACAAGGAGTAACAAGATCAATGCTTGGAAGCTTGGAAAAGATGTGGAAGTATGTGATAGTCGATTTACTGTATTGTCTGCTTGCCCTTTCTTAAGGAAAGGGCAATCCTATTTATGCTAAAGGAGTGTAGTTCTCTCATTTTCCAAGACTTTCCATGACTAACCAGGCTTGGTAACTGTAGTCGACGTAAGAGAATCCGATAGAACCATCTCCTAGGTTCCTAGCCTATAGGAAGTAAAAGGAGGTCCAAGGTCAGAGTACCCCTATAGGAAGTAAAAGGAGGTCCAAGGTCAGAGTACCCCTATAGACAGATTATGTCATAACTTAACCAATCTTGTAGATAACTAAGGAGCGATGACGTGTAATGAATCATAGAGGGTTGTAGAAGCTTTTGGAGCTATCGTTCATGTTCCTAGGCCTCTAGTCGATAGAGATATGTCATGTGTAGTATTAGCCCAGTAACTAAGGAGTGATGTCATGTAATGAATCATAGAGGGTTGTAGAGATATGCTATGTGGTCATATCAGCTCAGTAACTAAGGAGCAATGACGTGTAATGAATCATAGAGGGTTGTAGCAATCGTTGAGTAGTATTGCTCTTGTTGTTGGTGTGACAAGCCAAAATATGTATAGTGACTTGTAGGTTTGAGCAGGAGATTTCTCAGTTTGCTCTTGAGTTTGATAGCAAACTGAGTGCAACGAATGTCAGTATGACACTCGTCCAATTCCTTTCCATGAATGATCCAATCAATTTCGTAGATGCTAGTCTGAAAAAACTCAGAGTCGCTTCGCATCATCTCGTGGTGGAAAGCATTTGCACTGATTTCGCATATATGCATGGGCGTAAACCTATGTACTAGGGTTTTCTGCAGTGGGGGAGAAACCTCCTGGTTTCATAGTGGGATCGATGGTGTATCGGTGATTTCTTCGTAGTTGTAATGGTGGGTGCACCAGATATGAGAATCTAGCCACCCAAGGAAGGGATGAATTTACTAAGACAACACACTGTCTTAGGAAACAGAGCCAAAGGGTTGTAGCTTAGACTATTCCACAACGCAGCAATCAGGTGTATGATGTGGTGAAGTGGTCTAGACAAGTTGCAACAAATGTTGAGTCTGAGAACTCAGGGGTAAGTCAGAGGTTAGCACCTCACTGACTTTTCAAAAACAGAGAATAACAAGATCAATGCTTGGAAGCTTGGAAAAGACGTAGAAGTATGTGCTAGTCGATTTACTGTATTGCCTGCTTGCCCTTTCTTAAGGAAAGGGCAATCCTATTTATGCCAAAGGAGTGTAGTTCTCTCATTTTCCATGACTTTCCATGACTAACCAGGCTTGGTAAATGTATTAGAAATCAAGTGCGACCCACAACTAGCTTGCTAATCATGTAGTGAACGTAAGAGAATCCCATAGAACCATCTCTTGGGTTCCTAGCCTATAGGAAGTGAAAAGGAGGTCCAAGGTCAGAGTACCTATAGACAAATTATGTCATAACTTAACCAATCTTGTGGGTAACTAAGGAGCGATGACGTGTAATGAATCATAGAGGGTTGTAGAAGCTTCTAGAGCTATCGTTCATGTTCCTAGGCCTCTAGTTGGTAGACATATGCCATGTGGTAGTATTGGCCCACCCCCTTAAGGAGGAGATTTTCTTAATAACTTGTTCAATGAGTGTCCAAATGATATGCCGTGATGTATGTAGCATAAACAGATGTAGTAGAAGAGTTTGCAGCAATCGTTGAGTAGTATTGCTTCTGTTGTTGGTGTGATAAGCCAAGATATGTATGGTGACTTGTAGGTTTGAGGAGGAGATTTCTAAGTTTGCTCTTGAGTTTGATAGCAAACTGAGTGCAACGAATGTCAGTATGACAAGTGTGGGATATTATTTAAGTACGGCCATCCCCGGTAGGCGTGATATTTTTTGTATAATGTAAGGACACAGGGCAACCAGCTCACAGTAATAGCATATGAGAGTGCGAGTCGGAGGCTAAACGGATGCTATCCTATAGGTCTACTACGAAGGATACAAAAAAGATGATGGGGGAACCCCGTGAGTCGATTGTCTCAAGTACCCGAAACCCATCCGACTCAGTTCCGACTCAGTTAGCCCACCCAAATGATCACACGTGACCCCGCAGCTACCCAGAGTCTACTCCCTAGAATGAGAGACGAGAAGGCATCCTTACACCTCCTCTCGAGAGTTAAGCATAGTGATCTAGGAGTCTAGAGCATCTGTTATAGACAACTAGGCATTTTAGTTACTGCTATTAAGCTTAGCGATATACACCCTACACTTGTAGACAAGCTTAGCTATAGCATAGCTAAGTGTTTAGTGCTCTTTGCCTTAGTCTGCCATAAGGCGCTAGGTAATCCGCTTCTAAAATGCTTAGTTAGACTAGTAGCTATATACAGCCTGCTACTTAATGTAGAGCTACACGACAAAGAGCATGTCCTTAGCAGTCATACGGTTTTGACATATGTTACTGTTACATGCCAAAAGTGTGACAGTAACAGTTGCTAAATTGGTCTATTATATTCTTCACATGGGGGATTCACGCGCTGCTCCATTAGGCGTCGGGTCGACACGCACGTGGTGCCGATATCGTTAGTTCTTGTCTAGAAGGATGGGTATACCGCCGTTAGTCATCTAGTCACCGTTCCAGCCCCCAGTTCCGAGGGCCCAGCCAGACGCGAACGGACCGTTTAACTGCTTTAACCCAAGCCCGGTGGCTCGCCGCCGCCGGCGATTAGGTAGGCGGTATTAGTTATGTCGCCGGCGCGCACAGCATCGTGGGCTTCACACTCGCTCGGTGGGGCGTGGATGTGGATGTGCACGCGCGCGCAGAGGTACGGTACTTGCTATTACGAGATCGAATGCTCGTTTGAGAGGGGATCGTGACGTTTGGAGGGGTTTTTGGGGGGGGTTTTGGGGGGGAGAGGTTACGATACCGATACCACTGGATGGTGTACAGTGCAGTCTACGGTTCTGTATGGCTGGCGTCGGGTCTGTGGATGGAATACTATTCGGCGGTGTGGTGAGGTTTTTTATGTGCGAGGGATTATTATATATATCACCAGCTTCACCATCTCCCCTCCCACCCCCTCTCTTCCCCCCTTCCCTGTCTCTTTTCCTCTTGGAAAGCGTCCATCCATCCATCCATCCAGCCAGCCAGCCAGCCCATCGATGAATCGTTAAGAGGATCTTTCCAAGGGTTTATATCCCTTGTTCGACCTTTTAATCCCTCGCCGACTACTCCTCCTCGTCTCCCCGCTCCCTCCTCGTCTCCCCGCTCCCTCCTCGTCTCCCCGCTCCTACCTCGCACCCATCCACCACCCCTACTGCAATAGAATTTGTACGTACGACACGACAATTGAGCCCAACCACTTCAGCCTGCGAGGGTCTGGATTGCTTTATACCTCACTCAACCACCTATATCCCACATCACATCACACATCTCACCATCAGCATCTCCATCTCGCCATCAGCATCTCCATCTCGCCATCAGCATCTCCATCTCGCCATCAGCATCTCATCTCGCCATCAGATCTCCATCTCGCCATCAGCATCTCATCTCGCCATCCAGGTTACGCCATTAGCCTCGACGCGCTACAATCCCTACAACCCCAACCCCTACAACCCCTACAACCCCTACAATCCCCCAACAAACTTACCAACTACATCAAAACCACCAACACCACGTCAAAGTACGCCGCGCGGAAGTCACGGAAGACTACGGACGTTGGACAGCCAGCGACCCTTCATGTCCCTGCCGTTAGCAGCCTGCGCGTGCGTGGCCTCCTCCAGTTCTAATTACCAAATATCCCACGGCGATTGATCCAGCCCGTCCAACCATAACGACCGTTCAGTCACCAGTCACGGAAAGTCCCAAAACTTCAAAAAAAAAGTACCCCCCGCCGTCCACCGAAAATCAATCCCCTCCCTCCAGACCATCGCTGACCTGACCACCCCGAACAGGAAAAAAATAAAAATAAACATCGTGAACTCTTTGTTTATTTACTACTTCTACTTCCCTTTTCCCCCTTTTCCCTAACCCTTATCCCCGTCGTCGACCAGAGCGATAGAGTTTCCTCTCACACCACTCCACCCACTCCACTCCACACAACACACACAACCCCGCGCGAATCTCACCTGCTGAGACCTGCACGCACCACCAACCAACCCGCTGCACGCACACGCCTCAAACTCAATCGCTCACTTGCAGCTTCCCACCCGCCATTGGCTTGGCTCGATAACTACACACTTTTCGACTCTCCCTCCACGACCCCTCACTGGGCGCCCAGCAAAAAAGAAAAAGAAAAAGAAAAAGAAACCGAAATAACACACACAACATTCATGCCCTCCGCCACGCCACGCCCGAGCGACCTGCCCCTGCGCCCGCGCCCCTCCCCCCCCGCCGCCGCCTCAAAGGCCTCCCCCGCCTCTCTCCCCGTCCACCCCCCCCACACCCCCATGACCCGCACGATCGCGGTCGTCAACTCGAGCGGGCGGCAAGCCGCGTCTCTGATCCGCGTCGCGAGCGCCGTGGGCTATCGCGTGCACGCGCAGCTGCGCAATCTCGAGGGCATCGTGGCGCAGGAGATCGCCGCCTTGCCCAACGTCTCCATCTTCGTCGGCGAGCTGGCGCCGCGCGTGGATAAGGGGCGCGTTAATACGGCGCTGATCCGCGAGCTGTTCCAGGGCGCGCAGGTCGCTTTCATTAATACCACGTTCTGGGGGGATGAGGTGGCTATCGGGATTGCCCTCGCCGATGCCGCCAAGGAGGCGCATATCCAGCACTACATCTACTCCTCGATGCCGGACCACTCGCAGTGCTCCCCCTCCTGGCCCTCCCTCCCCCTCTGGGCCTCCAAAGCCCGCGTCGAGTCTTACATCCGCTCCCTCGCCCTCCCCGCCACATTCGTCGACACAGGGATCTACAACAACAACTTCACCTCCCTCCCCTACCCCCTCTTCTGCATGGCCCTCCAGCCCAACGGCTCCTTCACCTGGCGCGCACCCTTCCACCCTGACGCCCCGCTCCCTTGGTTAGACGCTGAACACGACGTCGGACCCGCTGTGCTACAACTCCTCAAGAACGGACCCCCGGCCCCTGGATCCCCGCCCAACAGAATTGCACTAGCATACGAGCGGCTCTCCCCCCGCGAAGCCTGCCGTGCCTTCTCCCGCGCCCTCCGCAGACCAGTACGCTACGAGCGCGGCCCCATCGAAATCGCCGTCTCCATCCCCAGCGGGTATGCGAGACAGCTTCGCGCCTTAGAACAGCTCTTCTCGATGGGTGGACCGGATGCGGAAGCGCAGCCGCCGTATTTTGGGGATCTGGCGCAGGAGGAGAGTGTGCCCGCTGCCGCGATGGGGTTGTGGGAGGGGTATAGGGGGTTGGAGGAGTATGCGAGGGAGGTTTTCCCGCTGGAGGAGGCGGCGAATGGGTTGACGTGGATGCATGAGCCGGTGGAGAGGGTGGAGAGGGGGGTGGAGGGGGAGGATGAGAGTGATGATGAGGAGGAGGGGTTGATGATGGGGAAGAGGAGGCAGGAGGAGTGGCTTGCTTGAACGGTTAATCCATAAACTGACGGTCATTTTTTTAATTCATGGCATGGAAAATGCAGTGCCTACGGGTTTGGGCATGGGAGATGGGATTGGATAAGGAAGAAACTAAAATGGGAACGGAATGGGAAAGGCGGGTTGGGAGGTGCATCAGGCACGGCGTTGGGAATTTTTCGGGTTTTTAAGTGCTGCCTTCTTGCTGCCCGCTTGCTTGCGGAGCCTGCGATTATTTCTTGGGGATGGAACGGATGGGATATTGAGATACCGTGAGCATGGATAGGGATATTGAAGTGGTTAACAAGGAGATGGGAGTGGGATAGGAGATGATATCACGACAGACAGATGGGGAGGGGATACAGACGGGGAATACGGGCTGGGAATCACACCCACGCATGCCCTCACAATACAAGAACTTTCACCACCCCACTCAACACCTCTCCAAACTCAAGTCCAATCCAAACATCAATCCAAAAACTCAATTCCCCTCTCCCTATCTACCCCCTACCCCCCTAATGACCCGGCGCAACCTTAAAAAGCGTAGCTTGATCACTAACCAACATCCCCGCAATACTCGCACTAGTAAGCGTACTCACGATCCCACTAAGCAGCGCACTAAACGCCACCCGTGCAACCCCTCCCCCCTTCCCCGGTGCCAGCTGGGAGAGGACGCCGATTTGGATGCCGACGGAGGAGATGTTGCCGAAGCCGCAGAGGGCGTAGGTGGCGATGAGGCGGGAGCGGGGGGAGAGGTGGGCATATTCGGCGTCAGAGGTTAGGAAGGAGAACTGTTGATGGGATGATAGTGTCAGTTATCTGGATTCTTCTCTTGTTTTTATTTTTGGGGGGGGAGGGGGAAATAGACTTACAGCGACGAATTCATTAGTAATAATCTTCATCCCGATCAACTTGCTCACCAACAAGATATCCCCACCACTGCGATCGACGCCGAGCAGGAAAGAGACGGGATAAAACAAATACCCCAACACAAACTGGATCGTAAGATTATGCGTCTCCCCATCATTAAAAGACCCGATATTCAGATAATGCCCCCACCACGTCAACACCGCATTAACCACCTCGAGCAAACTCAAAATACACAACAGCGACGCTACAATCATGCCTGCGACCTTGAGGCCGAGCCATCCGCCGTTGGCGAAGGCGTGCAGAGCGTTGGAGGGACGCTCTTCGTCTTCCATTGCCGGGACGACGATGCGGCCTGCGGTTAATGGTTCCTCGGTCTCGGGGTAGCGGAGTTTGGAGATGGCGAGGGAGGCGGGGATGGACATCACGCAGCTGGAGATGAGGGCTTGTGGGTTGATCCCCATGGAGATGTAAGCCGCGAGGACGGAGCCAGCGATGGTGGCGAAGCCGGAGGTCATGACTTGGTGCAGTTCCGCGTCCGTGAGATGCGGGATGAACGGCCTGATCAACACCGCAGACTCGCCCTGCCCGACGAACGGGGAGGCGGCGGCGACGACGGCCTCGGCGCCAGAGACGTGCATGGTGTAGAAGAAGAGGTGGGCGAATTTGGAGATGAAGAACTGGAGGGTGCCGAGGTAGTAGAGCAGCTGCACCAGGGCGATGAAGAAGATGATGGGGGGGATGACGTTGATGATGAACCAGCCCAGGGTCAGGGCGTCTGCGTTGGTGAGGAACTCGGTGCCCTTGCTTGCGAAGCCGAGGAGGGACTTGGCGAGGTAGGCGATGAAGTTGAAGATGTCGTATCCGGCTTTCGTGCGTAGGACGAAGACGGCGAGGATGAATTGCGCCAGCATGCCTACGATGACGGTGTGCCACTTGATTAACTTCCGGTTCTTCGAGGTTGCCCAGAAGAGGAAGATGAACACCGCGAGTCCGAAACAGGATATCGCGCGGTTGGCGCGCGTGTTGTCCTTCGTCTCCTCAGCCACCATTGAGCCGACGAGGATTACGGCCACGGTGCCGAGGGCGCCGAGGGGGAGGCGGAAGCGGGGGGGGATCATGTAGACGAGGCGTTGCACGATGTTTTTCCAGAGGAAGGCGATGGGGATCATGGCGTAGCGGGAGGGGATGTAGAAGGTTACGAGGCGGATCATAATAAAGAGCCAGAGGAGGAAGGGGATGAGCCAGCCGTAGTCGTTGCGGTGGAGGACGAGGCCTGCAATCCACCATCTGTAGGAGTTAGTCGTCCTTCACGTCGTGCATGCGCCGCCATCTCGTGGAGTCTAGATACAGACTTCCACTTCCAATGGGAACGGCATAAAGTAGAGGGCACGCAAACTCACCCAGTCATCACAGTCCCAATCACAACATGAATAGCCACGCAAATCTGCTTCCGATACTTCGCAATAAACTTCTTGATCGCCCCCGGCTCCTCATCCTCACTCCTCACCTCCTCCTGATGCACCCGCGCCACTTTCACCTCCTCCGTATCATTGATCTCGAGATCGAGCTTGCGTAGACTATCGCGGTCGGTCGACGCGTTGTTATCCGTCGTGGGATACAACCCATCATCGCGCACACTCCCACCCCCATGCCTCAGCCTCGTCGCATCCGTCTCCATCGCCGTCGTCCCAGTCGTCCCCGGCGCATGCCCCGCGCGCCCCACGCCCCCAATCGCCTCAGCAGATGAATGCTGCATAGCTACTCTGCTCTCGCTACTTCGTTAGAAGGGGGGGCAATGTTGAATGAATTGGCCCTCGCGCGACTTCAGCAACAGTCGCAAGTCCGAGAACACAAAAAAGACGAGAGGAGAGAGAAGAAAGGAAGAGAGGTGTCGTCCGCGTGCGCGCGGGGACTTTATTTCGGTCCACTCCATAGTACGTAGTCCCCATTTTGCCTACCCTACCTGACCTTACCACCCCTTCACGGATCCCGCCGCGTGCTGATGGCAGGGCATCTTTGGCAGTGTGGACGCTGTACCACGCCCGATGAGGAAAGTGATACCCATCCGCGGCCTCATCCTAACGCGCTTTCCCGCGTGGAGCAGCTGGGTGGAGCATCTTAGTACAGTGGTTCTCCCTTCCCCACATGCAGGATTTGTTTCCGATAAGCGCAATTTGTGTGCGTTCGTTTTTGTCCAAGAGTCTAGAGTAGCAGTCCAGGCAAAGACAGTTTTATCTTCCACTATCAGTGGTTGTAGTTTTCTCAGTGGAGTGAGATCAGGGTTTAAGCTAGCCCTCGTGATCTTGGTGGCGCGCTATACTACCCCAGGTCGACGCGGTGCTGGGACGAATGAGGGGAGATGGAGGTGAGATTGAGACGGGTGCAGCAACGGTCTCGGTGTATGGGAGATCGGTGGCGGTGGGGAGGCGGCTGGAATTGGAAGGTGGAGGGGAGGGGCGAGATATGGGTCCTGCCCTAAACTGCCGGACATGACCGACTCAGGCTGTCCATCACTTGTACAGAGGCTCAATGGGGCTCAGTGGACACACAACATACATACAGTTCAATAAAGTCTATACAATTAATTGATCCCGCTGAAGTTGAGATGATACGGTAAGATACCATCCTTGCTCTCGCCGACACTTATCTCGCCCCTTTTCTGTAGCTTACCCCTCCCCAATGCGTCCCCCCATCCGCCCAAACCGCCATGACCGCACAAATACGTAGGTCGAGACGGGCCACGGGCGCGCCACATGTAACGTTCACGACGCCCAACTGACTGGCAGCGGCACACCCTTCGCTCCTGTCTACGCGGAATCCGTACCCTCCAACAATCACTATCTTTGTCCACCAACCCCAGAGCGAAGTGGTAGAGAAGCTGGAAACCCCTGGCGGATTGCGCTGAGATTAAACACGAGGGATCCACCAGAGCTGCACGACTGTATCCACAAGCCGAGGTGACAGGCCTGGAGTGCAGCGTGGGTCGCGGTTCGACGGCGAGTATCTCCCCGTTGCGTTAGGTTTGGCGCGATAAGACGACCAGGCGGCTGGCCAACACATGCGTCGGCTCGTCTCAGCCCAGATAAGGGGCATGGGTATGGGTATGGGTGTGCGTTGAGGAGATAAGTGCAATAGCAAGTGGTGATAAGAGAGAGAGGCGGCTGGAGGTGCTGGGATGGAGAGAATGCGAAGGGTTTTGGTGGCTTGAGGTGAATGAGTGTTGGTGCTGGTGATTGGAAGGGGGTGTTGTTACCCGGATGGCCGAGTGGGAGGAGACAGTGGTGATAAATGGGAGATGAGCTTCGCCGAGGATGGAAGCTGCTAAGCTGCTAGGGAGGCTTGGGATGAGCTTGTTGATATTGGAAGCTGGTCGCGTTGGAGCGGAGTTGGCCGGTCGTTTCGGCATACTGTTGTTTTTCCGTGACAAGTGAGAGCGGCATAGCGAGGGCCGAGATATGCGAGTTGGCGGCTTGAGATGGCACGCTGGATGAGACCTGCATTGCGCAGATACTCTGACTCCTTAGTTTGCGACGGCATGTTGATTCTCTTCAACTTCATGCATTTTTCGGTCGTCGGTTTACTCACTCTCCTGCGTTTTCCACGCTGTTTTCTGTTTTGTCATCTCCTACATTTCTTCCCTCTCTTACTTCCCTCTCTTACTTCCCTCTCTTACTTCCCTCTCTTACCTCCCTCTCTTACTTCCCTCTCTTACTTCCCTCTCTTACTTCCCTCTCTTACTTCCCTCTCTTACTTCCCTCTCTTACTTCCCTCTCTTACCTCCCTCTCTTACTTCCCTCTCTTACTTCCCTCTCTTACTTCCCTCTCTTACTTCCCTCTCTTACTTCCCTCTCTTACTTCCCTCTCTTACTTCCCTCTCTTACTTCCCTCTCTTACTTCCCTCTCTTACATCCCTGACATCATACATTTCTAAGTCTCCTCATACAATAATGTGCAAGCATTCAACCTACGAAGCCCGCCGCTGGGCGGCTCGCGAGGATATCATTATATATAAATTGTGAGGTGTGCCTAGCAGCACCGCCGCTGCATATGCTCCGCAACCATGGATGGCTTTTGGTTACAAGCCCAACTGAATCTACCCAAGAAACTACGGCGCAGACCTCAATAGGGAGTTTTTTGGACTAATGTCACAAGAAGACTTAAAATTTCTAAAGAATGAGTACACTGGGACTTAATGCAGACTAATCACCGTGCAAGCTATTTCGATGTGTTTCGAACTAGTCTATCTATCTCCATTCAGTTAAAAAAACAGTTTGCAGCATCCCCAACGTTTACTGTTGTAGATGCGCATCCCACTCTCCCTAAATCTACATATCCTCTTCTTTCATCTTAACGGTTGACAGCTCCAACGCTCTAAGCTCTAGAGATGTACCTTTATCTAATCGAGACCATTAATGAGGGTGTTGGAATCGATGTAGTTCACATCTGTGGCCAAGCGGATCAAATGCTCAAATACTTGCCGAGTGAAAGGGTTGCGCTACATCAGCCACTAGATCTGCCATATCTGCTTCTATGTTGTTGCCAGATCTAGTAAAGTCGGTTAGCATTTGCCTAGAATATGTATTGATTTTTGCAGCATGCTCACTGTTGATTTTATCTGATTGATTACTTGGATAAGAATGAGGAAGTTCTCGACGTCGACTTCCGAGGGATTCCATAAGACGACTCACCGGAACATGGGGTTCAAGGCCACCTGGTAAAGGCGTGGTGTGGGTCATCCATGGGGAATTAAGCCAGTCGATACAGAACTTTGCGGAGAAAATCTCGAGGTAGCCCCAGAGGGAAGTATCCCATGGTGGCGATCTGAGAAGAAGGTTGTGCAGTATTTCCTTCAATGATGTGCAGGCTACGAGGGAGATGATTGTGCCAGCATCAATGTGCAAAACGGAATCACAGCAGAGTTATTCCTCACTGTTAACCCTTCCCTAAAGACATCCGACTGTACTGCGACACTGATTGCGGGGACGACATACTGCCTAGGACCTACCTATGATTGGAACATGATATTAACGTCGTCTGGGACCACTACTATCACAACCTCTCATACTACAATTATAACCAGCTCAACAACTTCCCCAGCCGTTACTGTTATTGGCGCAACTATATATCCAGCTGCCCCTGCTCAGACCAGTACAACGCCTCAGTGCAATTCTTGGTATACCGTTAAGAATGGAGATACGTGCGCCACAATTAATTCTGCGTACGGAATCTCACAGTCACAATTAGTCATCTGGAACGGTTATCTTAATACTGTCTGCGACAATCTCTCAGTCGGATACTCTGTCTGTGTATCAAGCCCTCTAGTGTTCCAATTCTAGACCTCCCTTGGGTGCTATGTAGATGTTACTGCTTCACGAAGTCTGGCGAATCAAATTGCACTTCCGAACCAAGACACTACGATGACAGTTGAGCTTTGTTAGCAAACACGATCGAGTGGATATACTTTCGCCGGCCTCGAATACGCTCACCAATGTTGGTGCGCTAACTCCATACTGAATAATAGCCCCGCGACATCAGGCCGTAGCAGTCCATGCCTAGCAAACACTGCAGAGATGTGTGGTGGCAGTGACAGGATCAACGTCTACTCAATCGGCGATGATGCGACTGTTGGATGTTATGTCGACTCTTCTACATCACGTACTTTGAGAAACCGCGTTGCTGTTCCAAATGAAACAACAATAATGACACACCAAGTTTGCGAAAGCGCATGCGAGAGAGCTGGCTATCAAATTAATTTCCGGCGTTGAGTACAAATCGGAATCCTATTGTGATAACTCTATCAACGGCGCTAGTGCGTGCGCTTGTCGTTACCAGCGCATGTCATATCGCATCCACTTCTGCGGAGGTTCAAGTCGCATAACCATATTAACTAGACCGCAGTCTAGATATGTTGGTTGTTTCTCAGATTCAGCGACGGCTCGCACGCTAGTGAATAGATACTCCATTGCGAATGAGGGCACAATCATGACGGTTGACCTATGTCGGAATGCTTGTAGAACCGCTAGTTACATATATTCAGGCGTTGAGTATGCCTAGCAGTGTTTCTGTGGCAATGCCATTCAAACGACAGGCGCCATCAGTACAGGGTGTACTATGGCCTGTGCAGGCAATGTCTCTTAGATCTGTGGCGGATCTGACAGGGTCATATAATCCTAGTCTATCCACCACTAGACCCCCCCTTCGAATTTGATGCGATTATTCAAAACCTGTAGGCTTAAAGGATAGTCTCCAGTATACACAAGAGAGTAAAGATGACAGAGCAGGTTTAGCCTTGCTAGTGCCCAGCCTCTGTATCTAGGGTCACACTCGCTCATGTCGTCAGGGTCAAAAAGAGTATCGATGACCTTAATACACACATTCTGATCGGCGATTTCCGTTGTTCTCACTTCCGTCGTTGCCGGCGGTGCATCTCTTAAACCTCCTCGTCAATTAGAAGACAAACGTTCATGTTGAAGTTTCCACTCTGGTCATTGTTGGGATCATTAGCCCAGTCGGTGAAGTGGTCTGCAACCTCATCGATCGACGCCCTATCATACTTCTCCCTATCGCTCATGATAATGTTCCGATATCACGCGCAGACTTCGCGAGTTGGTTCGGGATCGAGCGGGTCCTCTCCCTCGCCCACCTCTAGGTTCCTAATCCACATGCATCTCCAGATAGAATTGATCACATATTCATCCAACTTTGCAATTGCGCCTTCCCACAACAAATCAGACTCTGGAGTGTAAACCGTCCGATAGATTGCGAAACCCCAATAGTCGAGAAGAGTAGGAAGGAAGATGCGCTCTTGCCGACTCCTTTCTAGTCAAAATAACGACATTACTGCTGGAGTTTTCACACTGCTGTGATTTCAATGCGTTGAATGAATTGTAGTTGTATACTGTGGTTCAGTCCTTTGATGTAGGCTGTAAATGTGTATATCGTGTTAGGAAACCCACGAACTCAAAGGTGAGCCTTGTTGTAGAAGCGCCAGTGTATTGATGGAGGCAGGTATCGATTTTAAGCAAGGGTCGCTGATTTTTATCACGTGCAAACCGAGGGGTTGTCGGCGTTCTGGAACCAGTCGAAGCGCCAGTAGCAGCCAGCTTTGAGGGCTGCGGGGAAGGCATCGCACTGGCTGCGTGAGGAGATGCCGCCGTATTGGGCGCCCCAGCTGGTGGAGGGAGTGCTGTATTGGGGGGGCAGGCGTTGAAGATACCGAAGCATCTGGGGGGTGTTAGTTTTGGGACACCCTGCGCGAAGGGTCAAAGGGGATGGTGGAGAAGGGCCAGTGGAGAAGGGCCAGTGGAGAAGGGCCAGTGGAGAAGGGCCAGTGGGAGAAGGGCCAGTGGAGTAGAAGGGGAAAAGGGTGAGTAGGAAAACGAATAAATACGCCGATATCGAAGTGATTCTAACCAAGATCCGTATGGTAGCCTGCACGATCATCTTCTTCCCCGACACTGGGTCACTCGTAAACGTCAACTCGTAGTAGGCACAGCACCAGCTCGCCTCAGTCCCACCCGCTATCGACACCGCGGCGTATCCATAAGCCAGGGAGTCCGAGACGGCCCATGGGCTCTCATTGGAGCACATAAAGGCTGGACCACCATTGTCGCAGGCGGACTTGGTGTCTACATTGGCGAGCACATTGTCGTTCTTGTCACAGGACTGCACGGGGCCGGTCTTGAAGGAGGCCTTGCCTGACCAGGAGCAGGACGGTTTGCAGCAGCCCCAGTAGCGGGTTGTTTGTTTGGTGCCTGAGACGGCGAGAGAGGGGGCGGCGAGGAAGAAGGGGAGGAGGGTTAGGAGGGTGCTTTTGGGGAGAATCATAGTGCCTAGTGTCTGGTGTTGATAGTGATGAGAAAGCTTGGCTTCTGGAGATAGACAAGAGTGGAGTTGAATGGAAGAAGGGAATATATATCCCAACTTCAACGCAGGGGGAATTCAGGCTGAGCGACGATCGATACCAATATCAATGATCGTGGGATATACCGGGCTTTATAGTATCGGCTTTTATATGCCAAGAGAGAACATGGGCGATGTGATGCTTGAGAGAGTTCAATGAATGATATCGAGAAACAAGAATATACCCGTACCTTTTAAATTAGCCGCCATGCCGCCCTTTATTCTCCGCATAACCAGCTTATATACCCTGAGCCGGTTCTGCCAATGCTTCCTGCCCAATCCACATCATCTGATGGCAACGTACGGGCCGCGACTGCGAACGCCCATCGCCACCAAAGCATGTCGGGAGAAGGTTGTTGGCGAGAGAGTGGAACTGAGACTGGGTGTGAGCTTCCTTAATTTGTAGAATGAACGCCGAACGGGACTGGCTCTATTTTGCAATATATACTCGGGAGATTGGGCCGGCGTGGCTTTGCACCGGTAGGTATAGGCATAGCGGCTTGTGGATCCCGTAATGAGGAGAAGTCCTGGGCGTGGAGAGGTAAAGTTGACAGACCGCTCCAAAGACGGCACATATTTTGGTATTCTATAGCAGCTGTTCTGTGGTCACGCTTTGGCGACTTGGTGGCTTACCACGTTGTTCTCTGAAACCAAGGGAAAAACTCTCCGGCTGGGAATGCGGGGAAGCATATGCATGTACTCCCACGTAATGCGGGCACCCCTAGCCTCTGCGGCTTTTCTCGATTTATCTTGAATATCGACTATCGTATAGACAATACTGTTGCGATGAACAAGGAAGTTTGAGACTATAAAATATATCGCAGATATCAGCTGGTTGGGGACCGGCGTAGGCGGCTGACGATTAAATTTATCGTTCAGTCAATACCCTTTACGACACACCGGTCACCCACTACTTCATGACCTAAATTATCTTCCATGTGTGATCGTTATTCAACGTTAATATTTCAGTTACATGCCGGAAGTAAATCCCTAACTCCAGGCTCCTCGCTATGCTCAAATTTGTGGCGCCAGACAGACGACCAGCAGCGGCCGGACTAGACTCTATCTCCTCCCTCTCCCCGCACCGCCACTTCCACCAGGCATTCCTCCACCTCCCATCATACCCCCCATCTGCTGCATCATGGCCTGCATGTCCATGCCTCCGGGCATTCCTCCCCCTCCCCCGCCGCCACCAAACATCTTCATCATCGAGCTCAGGTCTGGCATGCCACCACCACCGGCACCACCTGCACCTCCCATACTCGCGAGCCTCTTCTGCATCGCCGCCATCTGCTGCTGCTTGTTGGAGCCTCCCATCGCTCCCTGGGAGCGCTGCATGTTCTTCATGTTGCCGCCCATCTTCTTCGCCATCCCGGCCATCATCTTGTGCTGCGTCAGGATATCCTCGACCTCACGCACGCTCGTGCCGCTGCCGTGCGCAATGCGCGTCATGCGTGTTGGCTGCTCGATGAAGAGCTTTCCGTCGCAGTCGAGCTCCTTGGTCGTCATGCTGTCGCAGATGTAAATCATGCGCTTGAGCTTCAGGGAGCCCTCTTCGTCGTCCATGCCCTGCATCATGCCGCTCATTCCCGGAATCATGCCCGCCATCTTAGACAGGGGACCCATCTTCATGATGTTTGAGAGCTGGTCGCGTAGGTCGCGGATAGTGAAGACACCTTCAGCGATGTGCTTAATAGTATCCTTTTGGTCAAGCTTGAGCGACTGCACGTGCTCGACGAGGCCTTGCATGTCGCCCATACCAAGGAGCTTGTTGACGAACTGCTGTGGCGCGAATCGTTCAAGATCCAGCATGTGCTCACCAGTACCGATAAACACGATAGGTGTTCGCGTTGCAGCAACCGCGGATATGGCACCACCTCCACTAGCACTTCCGTCGGTCTTCGTAATAATGATAGCTCCGAAATCTGCAGCCTCCTTGAACGCTTTACTTTGCGCCTCAGCTTGCTGACCAATACTGGAATCCAAGACCATAATAGTCTGATCTGGCTTGACGGCGTCCTGAATATCCTTCATTTCCTGGAACAGAGCATCTTCCTGCCTGTGCCTTCCACTAGTATCCACGATAATGATCTCGAACCTCTCCTTCTTAAACTTATCCACTCCCTCCTTTGCCACTACCGCTGGATCCGTCTGTGTGAGGGAACCATAGTATGGGATTTTCGCCTTGGTGGCGTTTTGCTTCAACTGATCGAAGGCTCCAGCTCTGAAGGTATCGGCGCAAACCAGACAGGCCTTGAAGCCTCTCGATTGGTAGTGTCGTGCTAGCTTCGTACATGTCGTAGTCTTACCTGCACCCTGTAATCCAACAAACATAATGACATTCGGCTTGCCCTTCTTTGGCTTGAAGGGTTCGGCATGGGGATCGACAAGCTTGACCAGTTCATCGAAGACGGACTTCTGGATGAGGCGCTTCTTGTTGACGCTTGGTTCAAGGTCTTTGAAGTTCACCGAGGCTTTGATAGATTTGCGCAGGTTTCCGACGAGTTTCACGTTAACGTCGGCTTCGAGGAGAGCGGTACAGATCTCCTTGATCATGCCATCGAATGCCTATATCTTTTAGAAGTCGTAGCTTAAGAGGAGAGACGTGGCATCACCTTCTCGTCGAGATTGCTCGACCGAGTTAAGTCGTTGACGGCCGCATTGATGCGTCGTCCAAGATCTTGAAGAACCATAGCTCAGATAGCGCTGACAGGCTGTCTGAACCTCAGTTTGGTATATTATAGAGGCTCAAGTTCCATGAGACGTCGAATTATGTCCATGTGGGCTAAGGAATCGCGGGGCAAGCGAATCCAGTGGTTGTTCCGCTGGACCCATATATTGACACACGACCAATCAGAAGATAATCCGGTTATCGCAAAAAGTGAGATTGACGATTGAAAATAATATGGCGGATGCGATTTTGAACGACGAAACCAATAATTCAAATCCGCTTCAACGACACAATGGGTGGACCAATGAGAACAAAAAGGAAGGCGGGAGAAAGCATGAAAGGGAGACCCAAGAAGTTGGTCAAGAAATTCAAGAAACAAACAGACTACGACAGTGGTTCCGGCGATGATTCCGAGACTGGGGACAAGCAGGACTTCGCAGCGGTCAACCTCGCAGACTCGGATGAGGAGGAAGAATCTGCTCCGGTGAAGCTTTCAACACATGTCGCTGCAGATTCGGACAATGAAGAGGAGAACGATGAGCCAAATCTTGACGAGGCATCTGCATCAGATGTCACCGACGCATCGAATTCAGACTCGGACTCGGACGCAGACATGTCTGATGCAGACACAAATCCCAACAACGTGAAGATACGGAACAAGCGCAACGATCCTGATGCCTTTGCGACGTCCATGTCCAAGATTTTGGGCTCGAAACTCTCCACAAGCAAGCGAAGCGATCCCGTCTTATCGAGGAGTGTGAACGCCCTCCAGGCATCGAAAGAGATCACCGATCAGGCTTTGGAAAAGAAGGCAAAGCAAAAGCTGAGGGAGGAGAAGAGGCAGGCTATGGACAAGGGCCGCGTCAAGGATGTTTTGGGCGCCTCGACGGCATTCGACGCTGCCAACAAGGAGGAGGGAGAGCCAATAGCGACAGTCCAGCAGATTATGGAGGAGGAGAAGCGTTTGAGGAAGACGGCGCAAAGAGGTGTTGTGCGCATGTTCAATGCCGTGAGGTCTGCACAGATCAAGGGAGAGCAGGCTGCAAAGTATGCTAGGCAGAAGGGTTTGGTTGGCCATGGGAGGAGGGAAGAGAAGGTCAATGAGATGAGCAAGCAGGGCTTCTTAGCGCTCATCGCCGGCGGCTCGGGAGGGTTGCCAACGGGAGGCATTGAAGAGGCATGATTGTATCACTTATGAATTGCATAGCATGGCGCATGTTGGCGTTGGAGTAGTAATGTTTTTAACGCCTAGCAAGCTTCTAGCCGCTGGTTCCAATAATGATACATGTTCCGGTGGGGAATCAGTAATATTTACAACAGTGTTCCAGGTATCCCATGCTAATTATCAGATCTCTCGTTCTTTTGGCTGAAATCGCTTGCCTGTAGGTTTCTTGTCATCGATGGTAGCTTGACCCTCAATCCATCAAGCTCCTTGTTCATCTTCACTTGGCAACCCAGTCGTGATGTTTCGGTCAGGCCGAAGGCAAGGTCCAACATGTCGTTCTCGTCATCATCAGGCTCCTCCATCTTATCGTACAATCCCTCATCCTCGATTATGACATGGCACGTTGAGCATGCGCAAGAGCCTCCACATGCGCCTATGATAGATATTAGCGGAGTTCGGGCAGTCTCGGGGTCCAAAGTTCATACCCTCCATCTCAACATCGTTGGCTTGAGCGATATCCAAGAGATTGTCTCCCTTTGCGACTACGAAAGTCTGCTCATCCCCGTCCTTGTCTATGAAGGTAACGTGTAGCCTAGACGGTGTCAGGGGCTAGTCAGGTCCGGAGATAGCTCAACCACCTACTCTTCTCCCGGCTTTGGCGGATCAAGATGCCCGTGTAAAGATATCGGCGAGTATGAAAACGCTCTTCTCTGTTCGACTCTGCCATAACCGCCTGCTTGTCCTGCCAACCGTTGCTGACGTGGTTGTTGTGCATTCTGTATAGCCGTGACTCTTGTTGCGGAAGCACACCCCCGTCTCGGTGACGTTTGTGTAGATTCCCGTAGGAATTGCTCAATGGGCTTCGACCATCTCGAAGACCTTGCAGCCGACCTTGAGACATTCATCGTGCAGGCGCAAAAGGACAAAAAAGCGAGGGCTTGTGAGCGAGGCGCATCCAGCAATATTTCCCGTAAATCTAAGAAAAGTCGAAAAACAAATAGATAGACAATTAAGCCAGTTTCTGTCTAATAATTAGTCTATATTAATTTTTAGCTGTGGGCGCGAGGTTCGGCGGTCGTTATCGTAAACTCCGCATAAAATTATAGGCGAGTCTCCATGCACGAATTTGACATCACAACTGTACTAACAGGTTTCCCTTTCCTGGCCACCACTAATGACATTTGAACTAACCAAAACACCGCCTCAAGCATGGCGAACCCGCGCGAAGGTCCGAATCCACTGAGGCCGTACTATATCCCTCCAAGTATTGGATTCCCACCAGAAGCGCAGAATGCAGGGAGCTCCGGACGGGGAGCTGGTCAGAATGGCTCGACTTCCTACGCGTCATCGGCGCGCGACATCTTCAGCGACATCGATTACTCGGATTACGTGTCAGAGGGCTCACAGAGCACGGTGGATATGATTAAACAAATGCTGGATGAGGCAATGTACAAATACATGTCGGTGTTGATAGCGCAGCCGTTCGATGTGGCGAAGACGATCCTACAGGTCCGGTCGCAAGCTCTTGCAGATCGATCAGTGCCTGCGTTTTCTCCCAGGAATGGCAGGAAAGAGGCGTCTGACTTTGCGGAATCTAAATATGAAGAGGTTCGTAACCCACAGCGCTCTGCTAGCCTTGTCACATGCTAACTCCCTTAATAGTATCCTTCCGACGATTCAGACCCAGACGAGCGTGCATACTTCACCTCCAATGCGCCAGAAGCTACATCTTATACCTCCCCAACTCGCTCGCGGCGACATGCCACCGACCGCGCTGGTTACGTTTTGCCCTCCGCGGATGACTCGCCCAGCGCAAACCAACTTACTCTGAAATACTCCGATTCGATTCTCGAAATAATCGGCCAACTATGGACAAAAGAAGGGGCATGGGGCGTGTGGAAGGGAACAAACTCGACTTTCATATACAGCGCCTTACTCCGGACTTTTGAGAACTGGGCAAGGAGCTTCCTCTCTGCTGTTTTCAATGCTCCAGACCCAGGGATTGTTGGAATCATAAGTGGTGGCCTTGATATGGTAGATTCGCCCTACCCTTGGTCGTCCCTTGGAATAGCAGTTGGAGCTGCTGCTATTGCAGGTCTGGCGCTCGCGCCCCTCGATATTGTACGAACAAAGTAAGCACAGCAGAGAAATCCCCCCCCTTTCCGCCACTAACTGCCAACAGACTCATCCTTATGTCGACTAACGCACCACGCCGCGGCCTCGTCAACGAGCTGGGCCAACTCCCATCCTGGGTCTGCCCCGGAAAGATCTTCGTCCCAACCATTCTTCACAGCATTATATCGCCCGTCATCATCCACTCCACACCCCTCGTCCTCAGCTCCCAATTCTCAATCGATCCAGTCCGCACCCCCGCCGTCTTCTCCGTTGCCTCATTCCTCTCACAAGCAGTTGAGCTGTTTGTAAAGCTTCCCCTCGAAACCGTCCTTCGCCGTGGCCAGATGTCAGTTCTTACGACGCCACCATACTATACTGGCAAGGAGTTGGACACCGTTGTCGATATTGGACCCTACAGCGGTCCAATCGGAACTATGTGGATGATTGCCCGCGAAGAGGGCGTACGAGACGACCCCGACGCCCTCAAACTCTCGGGCCCTGTCACCAGGACCACTAGGAAGCCACAGGTCAAGCAAGGCCAAGGCGTCGAAGGGCTCTGGCGCGGCTGGAGAGTCGGGATGTGGGGTCTGGTTGGTATGTGGGGAGCCGCAGCGATGGGCGGCGGCGGCGGAGGAGAGTTCTAAGAAGGGGGTGAGTGTATATGATGGATGTAAAATTTGGTGGTTTGAGCGAACGGCGCAGATGGGGATATGATGGGGGCAAAGAAACATCTCACGAGATGGGGGTGGAGGCGTTTTGTTGATTTGAGATACTCAGCTCTACTGGTCCCGTATTTATATCACGGGGAGGCTTGTGTGCCACATAGTTAGCATTAGGAAGATTGATGTGTATATTGTTACCGATTCTTGCAAGGCTTCCAAAGTTCCATGACTCAGTATGTATAGAAACTGCGCGGAGGATCTCGTACCCTGAGATCTAGCCGACTAAGGCGAGATGCTGCGCTATTACGCCAATATATAAGGTGTTGCGACTCCATGCTAACCGTGGTGGCACCACTAATGCGGCGGTCGCACGTGTCGAATGTTTCCAGAAAATCCTCAACTATGATGCGATATTCTCATAGGAGGAGAGGAGACAGTGGGAAGAGTTGTACGGTGATAAATAGCAGTGATGAGGCAGACATCGGTCCACAACGGGCGTTTGCATGGCTGTGTTCAATGCGGTCTCCAAGACATGCCTTGTATCAACTTCTCTTGGGCTGTTGGTTCGAAGAACTTCACGGCGTTTCTCTCCATGACCTCCTCCATGGTTGGATCAATGGCAGCTTTGGAAATTGTACACTTCATCGTCTTCGCTGCAAGAACCCGTATGAGACCTTCGTAGTTGGCGCTTAGTGGCTGTAGAGACCGTCCAGGAAGAAATTCCCACATTAGATATCTCGAGGATTCAAACTACCCAATGCCATTTAATCGTTCATTACCATAAGAGCTACTCCAAATCCCGAACCCCCAAGTGTTGTTCAGAAAAACCATTGTTCCAGCCTTCACCCTGCACCTCGATATAAATCCCCAGCCTTGCAACCCCCCCAAGCCCCACACCCAACCCCAATCCCGCCTAGCGCCGCCTCCCGCAAACCTCCACATCAAAAAGTTTCTAGATCACCAAACTCAAACCACCACCACGACGCCCAACCCCAATCCCACCCACCACCAGCCCGCCAACACCTCGTACGTCCTTCCCGCAGCTCTCAATCCGGGCAGTATCTAACAGCGATCCAGATTCCACCACCGCAACCATGCATCTCATGTACACCCTTGACGCCGAGGGCACCCGTGTCTACACCCTCAAGAAGATCAACGGAGGCGAGGTCACCAAGAGTGCGCATCCCGCGCGCTTCAGCCCGGATGACAAGTACAGCCGGCACCGCGTGACGCTCAAGAAGCGTTATGGGCTTTTGTTGACGCAGCAGAGTGAGTTCTTTTCCACCGACTTTTGCCAGTTTGGTATGGGGCTAATGCGGTGCGCAGAGGATCTTAAGGTTCTGGGACAGTAGATTGGATTGGCTGGGATAGGGTGGGTTTGAGGGGGATGGGGTGAGGGGAGGGAGAGTTGGATGGAAGATGTTGGACTATGTTGAAGGCGTTGAAGGCGTTCGGTGGAGGGGTGAAAAGTCTAGGCTGCCCTGAGCCAAATGATACAACAATTTGAAAAATCAAAACATAATAAAAATCGACGCCCAGTCACTTCTAAACGACATCCAATGTGTGTATTTGACCATGTCTGATTCAAAATGAAAATCGACCCCAGTCACTTCAAACTACATCCATGCGTGTGTTTACCTATGCTTGATTCAAAAATGACGCCTCTTCGTTTTCTTCTAAGCCCGATAGAATATATCCCATACATCCTATCCCAACTCCCACCCCATTCAACGCCATGCCTCTTTACGTCCAGCCTACCGCCGCCTACTCACTACACCCCTTCAATGCCTCTTCTTGGAATTAACATTCCTCCCCGCCCCCACCATCGGTCTCCCCCCCGGCCCCCTGCGACTCCCACTCAGCAACCCCGGCAAATAATCCTCATCCATCAGATCCCTCTCCTTCGTCCTCTTCGCCCTCTCCGCCGCCTGCACATACTCCTTCTGATCCTCCGCCAGAATAAGCGCCTGTCCCCACCCCCCCTTCCCGCCCCCTCCCGCGCGCGTATTCGCACTCCCTGCTACGGGCTTGGGGATGGAATACACATTCCCGCGCGGGCTCCATTGCTTGTTCTTCTTCAAGTGGACCTTGAACGTCCCATCCTTGTCGGTGGAACAGCTCACGCGCAGCAAAGTCGGCTTTCCGCAGCGAGAGCAGAATTGCTTCGACATGTCCTTGGTGACGGCGAAGCACGCGTGGCAGCGTAACACCCACGTCTTGAGCTGGCGCACGCGAGTCATGGTTGGGGAGAGAAGGTTGAGGTTCATGCGGAGGAGCACGTTCTGCATGGCGAAGTCGGAGGTGATGCAGGCGACTTGCATGGTTTTGACTTCGGGCTCTTGGGGGGCGGAGCCGGCGGTCTCTTTGGCTTGGACTTTTTTGATGTTGGAGGGGGTGATCCAGCCGCCTTCGTCGTCTTCGGACTCGGACTCTTCGACTTCTTCTGGGGCGTCGGGAATGGTGTCGATGGAGGATTCGAGGGACAGAGCGGCTAGAGACTCCTCTGCTGGTTTGGCCTCGGTCTTCTCTTCTGTGGATGGCTCGGTGGATTCAGGCGTTGGCTCTTCCGTCTTGACTTCCGGGACTTCAGCGTCTTTCGCTGGGCCCTCCGCAACTTCCGCTGGGATTCCAACATCCCTCTTCGCCTCTACCTCAGCCTCCGCCACAACCGGCTCTGCAACAGGTATTTTTGTCCCCCACGCTCCCCGACTCTCAAGTATCGGCTTCACCTCCTTGACCTCCTCTTTCAGCTCTTCCTTAACCTCCACCTCCTTTCCCCCCTCAACCTTATCCCCCTCCTTCCCCTCCACCACACTCCCCGGCGGCGCCCCATTCAACCTCTTCTGCCCCGGCAAACTCCTCAACCTCCAATCCCCCCCATTCCTCTCACACTCCAACTCATAACTCAGCGCCAACACCAACACATCCGGTTTACTCAGGACCTCCAGATCGCCCGTGCGTCTCGCAAAATCAGTCACCGCCTTCACACTCGCCGGCCTCGGGGTCCTGAGTTTCAAAAACGGCAGCAGAGTAGTCTCGAGACGATAGCGCGCTGCTACGTCGCGGATCTCCGAGAGGACGTGGGGGACGGTGTAGAGCTCGCTGGATTGGGCGAGGAGAGTCGAGATGGGGGGGGTGTTGGTGATGATAGGGGCGGCGTCGAGGACTAGGGTGTGCATAGGTTTAGGTGTTTCGGTCGCCATGGTTGTGGTCGTGTGTAGGTGTGTGGTGTGTGGTGTGTGGGTGTGAGGTTTTGGTGGGGTGGTTTTTGAAGGGTGTGAAGAATTTTGTTATCAGGACGGCAGAACAAGTTGTGGTGGGGCTGGGCGGTGAATACGCTAATGATATATTTTTATGATGGGCGTTATCTCATTTGAAAGGAGGGGGATTTTTTTGGCTCTGTGTTATCCTTTATTTGACGACCCGATCTAAGAAAACAGCCCAAGACAAGCCTTAATTAAAAGTGTAGAAAAAAAGTGGTATATCTATTTGCAAGCAAAGCCCTATAGTTCCCATCCATCTCACCCCATCCCAAACGCCAATATATCCCCCAAAAGTACACCCATTGCCCTACCTGCGGCATCCCCTAATACCCCTTTCAAGCTTCTAATCCAGCTATAATACCCCAAACACAAAGAAAAAGAAAAAAGGCAGGCGTCCGCCGCGTAATTGTTGTACCCGAGCTCCAGCTCCAGCTCCAGCTCCATATCCATATCCATATCCACAGAGCCTGCCCCATCCTTAATCCCCATCCGCAAACACCTCCGGCGTCTGCGCCTCCCCAAACGCCCCGCGCTGCTGCCCATCCACCGGCGGCTTCACGATGCCTTCCTTCAGGATATCCTCCGCCGTCTCTTCGGAATACGTTTTCTTCCCCAGGCGCTCGCACCACTCCTCCGCACTAACAATCGTCCCGTCCAACACGCCGCTGACTTGGGCCATCATGTCGAGTCCCTCCTTAGCCAGGACCATGACCCGCTTCGCGCCTTCGCGCGTCTCCCAGTCCGCTTTCGCCGCCGCGTTGTTGGTATCGGGGGGTGTGCTGGTGCTGGCCATCTTGAAGCGCTGGGGGAGACTGGTGAGGTGGCTGCGGACGAGGACGCGGGCGTTTTCGGGGAGGGCGCCGCCGGCGTATTTGGAGACGACGTCGACGACGTCTTTGAGGGTTTTGAGGACATCGTATTTTAACTCTGCAATTTTCTGTGTCAGGACTTCTCTATCTTTCTCCGAGTCCAATACGAAGATATCTTCCACGTTCTGCCTCTCGGTAGAGGATGATGATCCGGCAATAGGGGTTGCGGTCTTGCTGTTGCAGTCCTCGAGTGTCTCCTTTAGTGTGGTGATGCTCTTGCCGATATGTTCGTTTGCCCAGCGCAGTAGACCGAGGCAGTATTTGAGAGAGCGGAGAGACTCGACGGACATGGCGATGCTGAGTCCTGAGGTGGACATGATAAGGCGCGATTGCCACGACGGTGAGCCTGGAGCATCGTTCTCCTCGGAGCGAACGAGCGAGGTAGTCTGGGATGCTTCATAGCTTGGGCTCTTGTATTCATCGTATGCAGGTAGGCTTTCGACGTACGAGGAGGCTAGGCTGTTGGCTAGGCTATTGCGTCGTTCACGGTGTTGGAGTTGCTGTTCGTCTCCTAATGATTGAGTGGAATTGCGCATAGGCCATGCCCTATCGGTGTCTTCACTTGTCTTCCGGCGCTTGCTTGACTGGTCGTCTGTCGATTTCGTCGTTGCTGTAGAGTGACGATTGTGTGCCCGTCTGCGCCCGCCGAGAAACCAGCGCACGCCGCCTTCGATTCCCGTAGTGCGACCCACTGTCCCGACTTTATTGACGACCGGTGTGAAGCGACGCTCGACATATTCGGCTGTCGACTTGAAGCGCGGGCTGTAGTTCTTCGATGCGGAGTAGGCTGAAATGGAGCTATTGATGGTGGTCCTTACCAGAGGGTGCGAGGTGGTTAGAAGAGAGAGTAGAGGCTCGGGCTGCCCTGAAATATCTCGACGGTGTCTATTATAGCGAGATGAAGATGGTGGGGACTGCACAAAGTCTATTCGGATGTCAGCACAATGCGCCAATTCCGTATCAGGCAGGCGACTACATACCGGCACGAAGGTCTCCCAGAGCTTCGGCAGCGAGGCGCACATCAGGATCATCAATAGAGAGCACACTGCCACCTCTGACACCACGACCATCATCAAGGTCCATAGCACCAGGACTGTCCACTCCTCGGGCACTTCTGGGCGAACCATTAGGCGGGCGGTAATACGAAACGAACGGATTCAAGGATGGCCAGGCAGTCGTCGTCGTCGCCGCCGTGGTCGCCATGGGCTGAGATGTCTCCTCGACAGGCGCTTCTATAGACGATTCGACGGGCGGCTCGACAGGCGGCTCGGCCGGTCGAGTTAACGATTCTTGCGACATGGAGCCGTGTGCGTTGCCGCGGTCATTGCCTGCCGACGATGTCTCAGGGGCCGGTGCTTCTGATAGTTGCATGTTCAGAGGGTGATGCGACGGGGTGTAAGAGGGAGGTCGTTCGTCAGGCGCTAACATGTGATAGTGAGCGTGCTCCATTATTCGCTCTGCAACATGGGACGGCTGTGCTTGGCGATGTAAATTAATTTGTTGGGAGGTGATTAAGCAGGAAGCGGCTAGGAGACTATCGACGGTGTCGACTTCCTCACGAGGGGGTGTTCTGGTCTGGGGTTGGTGGTTGATCGTGGAGTGTTTTCGCATGTGCTTTTTTTTTTTGGGGGGGGGGGGGGGGGGGGGGGGGGAGGGGGTGTCCTTGAGTTGAATTAGCCCGTGGTCGAGCTCAATGTCTCATACGGATGTAGGCGGAGTTAAGAAGAAGGTTTTTGCGCGGGGCAGGCGAGAGCCTGACGATGGCTACAGCTCCGACCAAGATCAAAAGAAGGAAATAAAAAGCGTGAATGCAGTGGCGTACAGGGTAATATGGACTTGATGTTTTTTAGAAAGGGCCGTTGTCAGAAGTGACGCGGGGCGGGGACGGTTCTGATGATGTAGGGGGAGGTGTAGGGCGGGAGGTGTAGGGGGAGGTGTAGGGGAGGTGGGGGAGGTGTAGGGCGGGAGGTTGGTTGGTGGTTGGTGGTTGCTGTAGCGGGTGTAGCGGGTGTAGCGGGTGTAGCGGGTGCAGTGGATGCAGTGGGTGCTGTGGATGCTGTGGGTAGTTCTGTGGGTAGTTCTGTGGATTTGGTGCTGTGGTGGTGCTGTGGTGCTGTGGTGGTGCTGTGCTGTGGTGCTGTGGTGGTGCTGTGGTGGTGCTGTGGTGGTGCTGTGGTGGTGCTGTGGTGGTGCTGTGGTGGTGCTGTGGTGGTGCTGTGGTACTTCTTTGATACTTCTGTGATACTTCTGTGATACTTCTGTGATACTTCTGTAATACTTCTGTGGGTAGTTCCGTGGTTAGATTTGGTGCTGTGTGGTGCTATGGTGCTGTGGTGCTGTGGTGCTGTGGTACTTCTGATGGAGAGACGGCAAGTGGGAAAAGGCTGGCCCGTGCCGTTGGTTGCTGTGTGTAAAACCGCTGGATCACACATTGATCACATTGATCAAAAGACCCACGACTCCACGGTGACAGCGTAGATCGAATTCGAGTTAGGGGGAGTTAGGGGGGTTAGGGGGAGTTAGGGGGAGGTTAGGCAGGTTTAGGGACGACTTTTCACGTGCCAGGGGCGAAAATCCTTTGGAATTAATTTATCCGCATCAATGGATATCCCGGCTTCGTGTCCCTGTCCAAGAAGACAAGACAGGGATGGTGAACCGGGGGGGCAGGTATACGCTGGATCGGACGGGTTCACACTTGGGTCACACACTGGATCACGGCTCAGGCTTTCTCCGTGTTGGTTTTTTACTGGAGGCATGCTTCTTTCTGCCTTGTGATTTGATGGTGATTTGATGATTTGATGATTTGATGATTTGATGATTTGATGATTTGATGGTTTGATGATTTGATGATTTGATGATTTGATGATTTGATGATTTGATGATTTGATGATTTGATGATTTGATGATTTGATGATTTGATGATTTGATGATTTGATGATTTGATGATTTGATGGTGATAACAGCAGCAACACATGCGTCCCGGAAAGACATCCAAGCAGAAAGTCATCGCTCCTCAACAAACAGCCACATTCAGAATAGCGACGTTGACACCAGGTTTACCCCCTTCCTCTGCATCATCTTGATCATCTTGCACCGGCACTTGCGATACTCCCCCCTGGCGAACAGGCACATGCTGCTGGGACTATGAACAAATTAGGAACCGTGCATTAGAAGAGCAAAGGTATAACAAGAATCAATCAGCCCAAGCCCAGGCTCAAGCTCCTTACACCAGCCAGCTGATGTTGAGACTCGGATCAAATGTGACGAGTCGACAATAAGGTAACAAGGTTAACGCTGGATCAAACGTGACCAGTCAAAAATGAAACCAAAAGACCGAACCATGCATTAAAGTGCTTGTATTTTCTGCCGCGGCAAAGCCTATGCTATGCCAGCCAATACAGCCATAGCCATTACTATCTATATATATCAAAGTTCCTCTCCTTTGTCACATGTTTGTATGGTCCCTCTGACGCCGCCCAAGCAATCTGTTGTACAAGACAATGCTCGGCCAGCTCTTTATGGTACCGTCGATAGTTCGTCTCCGCACCGCGAAATCGCGATACTCATCAATTGATCCCACTGGAGACTAAAGGCATAACGCCCCGTCAAGCGTGTTAAATGTTGAGCTGCACTGTCTAAAAGGGCGCGTTGAAGAGAGAGGAAGAGAGAAGAAGAGGAAGTCGCCAGGGTCGGAATATTTTTATAAAGCATTTTTTTCGACAAGCAATGAGCTAGTCTTGTTTGGGGTTCGCGCCTGGGCGCCAGTGTCTCGCGCTAACCACAACAAGGTGACCCTCGAAACGCATTGTTGGGGGGGTTATCGATATCGCAGGACGACCGTTGATTGTGCATTTAACTCGCAAGCGCCGACAAATGATATAATAAAGCTCTTTATTTATTACTAGGACTGGCCAGAAGGCCTCTAAATCATGACATCTGCTGTGTTCTTCCTTGATCTCAAGGGCAAGGTGGGTGACCTCGGCGCCACAAATATATCGCGGCCACAATGCTGATGATGTGTATAGACCCTTTTAGCTCGCAACTACAGAGGAGACATCCCCATGTCTGCGGTGGAAAAGTTCCCTATCCTTTTGAGTGATGCAGAAGAAGAGAGCTCCGCAGTACCGCCCTGTTTCTCCGACGAAGGGATAAACGTATGTTGCAATCAATTCGTTTCGAGGGAGGTCAGGGTAGCTGACACCGCCTTCTTTCCAGTACCTCTATATCAGACACAACAACCTCTACCTCCTTGCCCTCACCAAACGAAACACAAATGCCGCCGAGATCCTCCTCTTCCTCCACAAGATCGTCGAGGTCTTCACCGAATACTTCAAGGAGCTCGAGGAAGAATCCATCCGGGACAATTTCGTCGTCATCTACGAGCTGCTCGATGAGATGATGGATTTCGGCTATCCGCAAACAACCGAGTCCAAGATCCTCCAAGAATACATCACGCAAGAATCACACAAGCTAGAGGTCCAAGCACGCCCCCCAATCGCCGTAACCAACGCCGTCTCCTGGCGCTCCGAAGGCATCCGCTACCGCAAAAACGAAGTCTTCCTCGACGTCATCGAGTCCCTCAACCTCCTCGTCTCCTCCAGCGGCAACGTGCTCCGCTCCGAGATCCTCGGCGCCGTCAAGATGAAATGCTACCTCTCCGGCATGCCCGAGCTGCGCCTCGGCCTCAACGACAAAGTCATGTTCGAGACCACCGGCCGCGCCACCCGCGGCAAGGCAATCGAGATGGAAGACGTGAAATTCCACCAGTGCGTGCGCCTCTCGCGCTTCGAGAACGATCGCACCATCTCCTTCATCCCGCCCGACGGCGAGTTCGAACTCATGTCGTACCGGCTGAACACCCAAGTCAAGCCGCTGATCTGGGTGGAGTGCGTGGTGGAGAACCACAGCGGCTCGCGCATCGAGTATCTCCTAAAGGCCAAATCGCAATTCAAGCGCCGCAGCACAGCGAATAATGTCGAAATCATCGTCCCGGTCCCCAATGACGCGGATAGTCCCCGCTTCAGGACGAATATCGGGAGCGTACATTATGCGCCGGAGAAGAGCGCGATTGTCTGGAAGATCAAACAGTTCGGTGGGAATAAGGAGTTCTTGATGCGTGCGGAGCTGGGGTTGCCGAGTGTGAAGGGTGATGATGAGCAGGGTGGTGGTATGATGGGGGGGTTTGGGGGGAGTATGGGGGGCGTGGGTGGGAAGGGGGCGAAGAGGCCTATCAGTGTCAAGTTTGAGATTCCGTACTTCACGACTAGTGGTATTCAGGTCAGGTATCTGAAGATTATCGAGCCGAAGGTATGTTGTATATCCTCCTTTTTGGTGGGGCCAAGTACTAATTACCAAAAGTTACAATACCCCTCCCTCCCATGGGTCCGCTACATCACGCAGTCCGGCGACATCGCCGTGCGGTTACCAGACGTGACTGGCGTCTGATATTACCGTCAACGCACCAGAAGCTGTCAGAGCACATCAAAACTCAACCGGGAGACATGGATGAGATACTTACTCATGAGGGGATGGACGACAGGGGCTAGAGCGAGCGAGGGGTGGAGATATTTTCAGGCGCATGTACAAAAGGAGTTATCATCATGTCATGCATTTGATAGCAGGCATGCTCCCCGCGTAGAAGGATTCGCGCGGATAGATAAATCAGCGACGCTGAATGAAGGCTTGATGACCATCACTTGTTCCTCTCCATCACACACCATGTATCTGCAACTATGTGATCCTGTGAGCGAGAATTGCTGGCAAGGGTTTTTTTTTATTCACCACACTCGCTCGTAGTAATCCCCATATCCTCCCATATTCGCCGAAACAACAATCTATCATACAATAGCCACCAGGTATCTTTGCAGTAGCATATATATACACACACATCCTCCATCACATTCCCCAACTCCCCCCCGCAAAAAAAAATCCTTTACCTCCCCCCCCCCCCAACCTCTCAAACCTCCCCAAAACCACCCTCGCAAACCACGGCGTCGCCCACACACTCCCCACAATCCGCACCGGCAACAACACCTTCGTAACCGCATACGCCGTCGCAACTTCCATGACGATCCTTACCCCCCCCCCCCCCTTCCGCCTCCATCCCCTCCCCCTCCGCATTCCCAGATACCCCTTCCCATCCACCGCGCCCCCCACAGCCTCAACACCAAACCACCCCTTCCGTGCAAAATACCTCCTAAAGCGGCCCTCATACCCCGCCCCCCTCTCCCTCATCCACTCAGGCGTCCACTCCGAATAGTGGAAGGCAGCGCTGAGACCAATGAGGGGGATGACGGCGGTTAGCTCGTGCAGGATGAGGAAGGAGATTATGTGGCTGATTGGAGCGCTGCGGAGACCGTTGGTGTATGGGTGCAGGAATTTGGGGGTCCGGTCTAGGAGCTTGTTGAGGCGGGTGCGTGTGGATGTGGAGGGGGAGGGGGAGGTGGGGTTGCGGGGGGGGTGGGGGAAGGGAGTTTAGTGGTGGTGTAGGGATGGCGGGGGGGAGGCGGTGGAGGGGGCGGAGGAGGGAGGGACGCATATTTTTTTTTTTTTTTCGGTTCTTTTTGGCGCTGGATGTTGGTGAGGTTGTTGATAGATCCGTGGAGGTGATATAATTTTGGTTGCCACGAGGACGCGCAATGCACGTGTTGTGCGGGTTGTTGGTGTAAATAGAGGGGAAATGTGGAGTTGATGGTGGTTATTGTCAGGGTTTGTGTGAGGTACTGGAAATCATTATTATGATTTGGTATTTGTGGTTTGGAGCGGATGCGATGGGTATTATAAGGTTAGTCGTAGAGCTTGAGTGCTGACAGCCGCGTCTCGGCAGGCGCCGAGCACGGATAATAGGCGCCGATAATTTCAATAAAATCCATCAATCACAGCAACTTCAACAAGTACATAACTACATGATAACACAATCACATATCCTATTGAACAGCATAGCACCCTTAATTTTCATGGTTCGTTCTATCTACGTGCAACGGTCATTTGAAAGATTTTACTTTTCTAGGGAAAGCAGAGCACGGGGATCGCGCATCTACTTCTCGTAGACCCAAGCGGCCTGGGCCGAGGTCCAGGAGATGACCTCCTCAGGCTTGAACCAGAGAGCGATCTCCTTCTTGGCGTTCTCGACGCTGTCGGAGCCGTGGCAGACGTTGCGTCCGACATCAATGGCGTAGTCGCCTGTGAGGATTATCAGTAGCTGCGGTGAGGGCCTAGGAGTGGGGTTCTGGGGATGTCTTACCGCGGATGGTGCCGGGGGCGGATGCCAAGGGGTTGGTAGCACCGAGGAGAGCTGGGGTTTGTTAGCTGATTTGTATCGGCGATGGGGGGTACAGAGGAACGTACTGCGGCCGGTCTTGACGGCATCACGGCCCTCCCAGACCATGGCGCAGATTGGGCCGGAGTTCATGTCTATATGTTGTCAGTGGGTTTTATATTGGCGGTGTGGGGGGAGGTGAGCATACACTCAACGAGGCCAGCGAAGAAAGGCTTGGAGGAGAGATCCGAGTCTGTGTTATTGTCAGCATGGCCGAGACATGAGAGATATGTATGCATTTGGTACTAACAGTGGTTCTCGAGGTGCTCCTTGCCAGGAGTGCACAGCTTGATGGCAGCCAACTTGTAACTACGAGACGTCAATGGAGGTGTTGATGTTGACAGATGGCATTACGACATACCCACGAGCCTCGAAGCGGCTGATGATTGGGCCGACGAGTCCACGCTGTGACAGAAGTCAGTACTGCTGTTTTGAAGGGCATTAAGGCGTGGGGTTTCATGGCATACCTGGACTCCATCGGGCTTGATGGCAATGAAGCTATTCCCACTGTCAGCTTGACCCCTCACCGCCACATTACCCCTCTTTCGTAAGCCAAGAAGGGGAATGGAACTCACGTCTGCTCGTTAGACATGTTGCTGGTTTGATAGTTTTCTTGTTCGGCTCTGTGCTTTGCTCCTGCTCTGAGATAAGCTTGAGTCTTGGGACTAACTAACTTGTAGATGGGAGGTTCGGTAGGTGGATTAGATGTGTTAGAGTCGGCCATTGCATTGGGATAATTTGGGTTTTGCTGACCGTTGGTGGGGTATTTAGCTTGGCGAGGTTGTAAGAAAGACGTGTGCCTGGATTTCAAGGTAGCTGTTGACGTAGCTTGGCTACCGTTGGCATTGGCACCACGATGGTTGTCCCAGTAGACAGCTAAGCTTGGAAATGTCCACCTAGGGGAGAGAGAGTGCCCTATTTAACAACCACGTTCTTTTTATTTGCATAAAAACCGAATTGCAGGCCAATTGTTGAGTCTTTATTGATATCTACAATGCGGTCAGCAGTACTGCTGTCCTCACGGTGGACGGCATACTTTGTGTTCCTGTCAGCGTTATGTTGTCTATTTACCCCAGCTGGTAAAGCTCCCGGGACCGCCCTTCGTATGAAGTATTCCTAACAATTATGTAGTCATGGTAAAGACTGAAAATTTCAAGACCTGTGATCAATCAGGCTTTTGCAAGAGAAATCGACAATATGCAACGACTGCTGCCGACGTAGGAAATCGGTGGGTCGCGCCATACTCGATCGCAGATGAAACGATCACATTCTCCGGTGGCCAACTGCAAGCGGTTATAGTCAAGGCTCTTGATACACAAGGTGAATTTGTTAAATTGCCCGTTACTATATCGTTCTTGCAGTCAGGAACTGCCAGAGTTACGGTCGACGAAGAGAAGCGGAAGAACGGCGACATTGAGTTGAGACACAACAGCAAGGCCAGGAAGGAACGTTATAACGAAGCCGCAGACTGGGCACTTGTTGGAGGGCTAGAGCTGAACAAGGATGCGGAAGTTATTGAAAGGAATAAGGAGACGACGACTGTTCGGTATGGACCCAACAAGGAGTTCGAAGCTGTCATCGGCCATTCTCCATTCCGCATGGAGTTCAAGCGAAACGGTGTCACCGAAATCAAGCTCAACGACAGAGGCCTCATAAATGTCGAACACTGGCGTGCAAAGATTGAGCGCGAAGTGAAGGAAGTGAAGGAAGGAGAGGAGGAGGCTCCTGAAGAGAATGCAGAAGGTTCAGTTGATGACTCCACATGGTGGGATGAGTCGTTCGGTGGAAATACTGATTCGAAGCCCCGTGGACCGGAGAGCGTAGCTTTGGACATCACATTCCCCGGTTATAGTCACGTTTATGGTATCCCTGAGCATTCAGGACCCCTCTCGCTGAAGACGACGAAGGGAGGCGATGGCAACTACGATGAGCCATACCGTATGTACAATGCGGATGTCTTCGAGTATATTGTGGACAGCCCAATGACTCTCTACGGCTCTATTCCTTTTATGCAGGCTCATAAGAAGGATTCCACTGTCGGTGTCTTCTGGCTCAACGGTGCCGAGACGTGGGTGGATGTCATCAAGGAGACAGAAGCTCACAACCCATTGAGCTTGGGCATTGGTTCCAAAACCGATACCAAAACACACTGGGTCTCAGAGGGCGGCCTCTTGGATGTGTTTGTTTTCCTGGGCCCGACGCCCACGGGCGTCACTAAGGCATATGGTGAGCTTACCGGATACACTCAACTTCCACAAGATTTCGCCATCGCATACCACCAGTGCCGCTGGAATTATGTCACAGACGACGACGTTAAGGATGTCGATCGTAAGATGGATAAGTTCAAGATTCCATACGATGTCATCTGGCTTGATATTGAGTACACCGACGGAAAGAAATACTTCACTTGGGATCCGCACACGTTCGCGAACCCCATTGGCATGGGCGAGCAACTAGACGAGCATGGAAGAAAACTCGTTGCCATTATTGACCCCCATATCAAGAACGAGGGTGGCTACCACGTCGTGGACGAGATGAAGAAGAAAGATCTGGCAGTCCACAACAAAGACGGCGACATTTACGAAGGTTGGTGTTGGCCTGGATCCTCCCACTGGATTGATGCCTTCAACCCTCTCGCCATCAAGTGGTGGACTAGCCTCTTTAAATACAGCGCGTTTAAGGGCAGTCTCTCCAACACGTTCATCTGGAACGACATGAACGAGCCGTCTGTGTTCAACGGTCCTGAAACCACTATGCCGAAAGACAACCTCCACCACGGCAACTGGGAGCATCGTGATCTCCACAACATCAACGGCATGACCTTCCACAACGCCACCTATCAAGCCCTGCTTACCCGCGCCAAGTCCGAGGCGCCCCAGCGCCCATTTGTCCTCACGCGCTCTTTCTTCGCCGGCTCCCAGCGTCTGGGCGCCATGTGGACCGGTGACAACGAAGCCAAGTGGTCTCACCTCGCCGCCTCCTTCCCCATGGTCCTCGCAAACGGTATCGCGGGCTTCCCCTTCGCCGGCGCCGACGTCGGCGGCTTCTTCGGAAACCCCGAGAAGGACCTCCTCACTCGCTGGTACCAAGCCGGCGCCTTCTACCCCTTCTTCCGCGGCCACGCCCACATCGACACCCGCAGACGCGAGCCCTACCTCATCGGCACCCCCTACACCGAGATCATCACCCAAGCGCTCCGCCTCCGCTACTCCCTACTCCCAGCATGGTACACCGCCTTCCACGAGGCCTCCGTGAACGGAACCCCCATCATCCGCCCCCACTACTTTGTCTACCCCAGCGACGAAGCCGGTTTCGCAATCGACGACCAATTCTTCGTCGGCGGCACCGGACTCCTCGTCCACCCCGTCGTCACAGAGGGCGCCACAAGCGTTGAAGCGTACTTGCCAGATGACCAGGTCTACTACGATTACTTCACGTACAAAACCTACCAGGGACACGGCACGCACACCATCAACGCCCCGCTCGACACAATCCCAGTCCTCATGCAGGCCGGCCACATCATCCCCCGCAAAGACCGCCCGCGCCGCAGCAGCGACCTAATGCGGTACGATCCCTACACCCTCGTTGTCACCCTCGACAGCGCCGGCAACGCCGAGGGCGAGTTGTACGTCGATGACGGACAGACATTCGAGTTTGAACAGGGCGCATACATTCACCGTTCCTTCTCCCTCGATGGAGCGACGCAGACTCTCTCGTCTACGGATTTCGAGGAGAAGAAAACGAGGGGGGGGGAGGAGAAGATGGCGTTTGTGAAGAAGATGGCTGAGGTGACGGTGGGGAGGGTGATTGTGGTTGGGGCGCCGAAGGCGTGGAGGGGGGTGGAGACTGTGGAGGTTCGGGAGGAGGGGAAAAAGAGGAGTGTGCGCATGGAGTGGCACCAGGGTGCGAAGGGGGCGGCGAGCTGGGCGGAGGTGAAGAATCCGAAGGTGGGGATTGGACGGGATTGGAGTGTTGTGTTCCCTAAGCCGTAGAATAGCGGAGTTGGATAGTGTGGATAAGAAGAATGAATAGAGAGAGATTTAAGCATGAGAATTTAGATTCTACTAGAGCATGACTAAAAGCTAAAAAACAATTGCCCAAACTATGAAACTACGAAAGCCGTTATGCATAAGCCAAAGCAAATCATCTCCCTAAAGCTAAACAACCGTCCTCCCCCTTAAAACCCATCCCTGCCCCCCCCGATGCACCATCGCCGCCACAACCTCATCCCACTCCACCTTCCCCGCCTCCTCCTCCCCCGCATTCCCACTCAAATAATGCTGCTGAATCCTCGCCGCCGACGCCTTCGTCTGCGCCACCACCATGCGTCTCGCAACCTCATTCGCCTCCCCCAACGACACCAGCCTTCTCTTCAGCTCTCCCCCGTCGACCTCCACCCTCTCCGCAGCCTCCAGACACTCCTCCCACACCCACCTCTGCGCCTGCAAGTCTTGCATATCACCCTTCAATAACTTCGCCTTCATCCTCTCCTTGGGATCCTCCGACGCTACCTCTTTGGGCACAAACTCGCGCCAATCCTTCGTCTCTAGTCCCTCGTTGAAGATCTCTTTACTGCGCCACCCGGATGCGCGCGACTTCGCACTCGATTTCAATCCCTCCACCGTCGCACTCTGCAGCTTGTGCTGCGCTAGCTCCAGGGCTGTAATACCTGTTGCGTTCTCGCGACCTAGCGTCTGGGGGTTCTGGAGAAGGAACTCGCGTACGTGAAGTGGGCGGCCTTGCTTGATAGCTACGTGTAGCGGGAGGTCGCCGACTGAGTTCATAATAGTTAGGTGCTGACCTTCAGTATAGGAGGACACCGTCTCAGGGATGGTACAGGCGTGGCTAGATTCGCCGCGTGAATTAGCGTTGCATTGCGACTGCCAGAGGGCAAATGGCGTAAAGCCCAGGATGTCGCGCTCGAGGAGCATCTCCGTCACGTCGCTCTTCCCGAAAAGGGAGAAGAAAGAGGCGAGGCTGTTGCGCTTTTCCCATTCTTCTGTCCAGGTGGGATTCCTTTCTGCGGGGCAAATGAGGTGGTGGATCATGTTGCGGCCGGTGGCGTCGCGGCTGCGGACCTTGGAGCCCAGTGCGAGGAGGACTTCAATGACGCCCTTGGAACGGCGGGTGCATGCCAGATGCAGTGGCGTGAAGCTGCCGAGGGAGCGGCTTTCGAGGAAGGTCGCATCGTTACAGGCTATGTATTTGACAAGTTCCATGTGCTCAGGAAGGTCGTCTTCTGATGGCATCGTCATGACCGCAACATGAAGGAGGAGTTCATCTATTTTTGTTAGAATATTTATACCCATTAGTGGATGATGGTAACTTACGGCGCATGCTAAGCCATTTCGTAGCGGTGCCCTTGAAGCCATTCTCAGATTTCGATAGCGCCACCACGCGCTTATCATTCTCATGCATAGCAGCAAACTCAAGGTACTTGATCGTGGGAAGATCGCTCAAGAACCACTGTACGGACGCGAGATTTCCGAATTTTGCAGCTTTCAGGAGAGGCGGCGTTGTCTCTCTCACCCTGTAGATGTAGCTACCACCGTTCGGATTTCCTGCCTGCGCCCAGCTGGCATTCTTCTTGCCGCCGACATTCAAACCTTGATAGTACTGTGGCTTCTCCTCCGGCAGCTTGACACCACTCGACTCAACGAGATGATCAAGCGGAATCCCAACGCCAGTTCGCTTGATCATTTCCCCAAGAATTTCGGTACGGCCCAGCCTTATGGCTTGCTCAAAGTCATACTGAGCCACGATAGGGGATAGCGGCTCGTTGGGGAAGTGAACAGCATGCTCCTCGGCGATTTGATAGAGGAACCTGAGGAGTCTGGTGTCGTTGGTAAATATGGCATACTGAACCAAGCTGCTCTGTCTCCCAAGGACGTCCTCTTTTGGTCGCTCTTTCTCGTCTATGAACCAAAGAGCATTGCATGGCCAGTGTAGCATGTCCATAGGCTTAACGTGGCTCTTGATGACCGTTGAAAGAGCGGCAACATTATCAATAGTGAATACCTCATCGACAAGTTCACTGCGAAGGCCAATCTGTGAGTGGTCATCGTCATCAGAATCCTCACTTTCGGAACCGTGGTCAGAACAACAGCCAGCTTGGTCGTAATCAATGCTCCATTTGATCTTTCCTCCCTCATTGTCCCGTGGTTCGTACTGCGCAAGAGCGATTTCAACAATCACCTTGGCCATCCTGTAATGCGAAGGGCCCCGGAGAATCGCAAGTGAGAATGGAGACACGCCAGTGAACCCCTTTTGCGTGACGATAAAGTTCGATCTATAAGCAAAGCCAGGCATACTAACGCCATAGTGCTGGCTTCTTTCAGGGACAGTGTCTTTAACAGCTATTTGCAAAGCCGGGTGCTCCTGCCCATCCTCGCTCTTCCAAGGTCGAAGGGTTAACGATTTAACCTCGTCAATGTCGTTACTCCAGACAGCTTCAAACAGTCTAAAGTGGCCTTCCATAAGATGGTCGCTTAAAGCTGGCACGCTGAATAGGAAGATTGTCTCGTATGCATTAACATCTGGTGAAAACACTGGGTCTAGTTTGGGCTGCCTGTCGCCAATATCCACAAGATTAACGTGACTGTGAGCTTGTTTGAACGTCTTTGCTCCAGCTTCAATAAGAATCTCTTCAAGCTCTTCATATTGGGCGAGAAGCGACTGAATCGCCGACATCTTCGCATCCACGGCAGCTTCGAAGCCACTCTCAACTTCGAGGCTTTTATTGTAAGATACCCATTGTGCGTCATTTTCGGTCTTGACATTCCTGTATCGGTTGAGCGCAGTCCAGTATTTATAAGTTCCAGGCTTAAGATCTTTGAGGTAATATGCCTCCTCATGCAAGGTGGTCGGCACCTTATTTGCTGCCCATGTCAATCTTTTGTGCTCCTTCAAACTTTTGATCTTCCGCTGCACCACGTCAAGAACAGTAGCTGCAGTGATCGTGTTATAATTATAAGTCGCTGCAAGAGCCGTCTGACCAGCGATGGTAACGGTGTTGGGATCAGCACCGTGCGCAAGCAGTGCTGCAACCATCTTCGGAAATTCACATATGGCAGCAAGGACGATAGGCTGCGAGCACATCGTTTTATACGTCTTCATGTTCTGTTCGGCGGTGCTGTTCTTGGCGTACTCATTTTTAGCAAAGTAACACTTGATGAAGCCTTCGAATGAGATCCCTGGCTTAGCACCGAGGGAAAGCAACTTCTTGAGCAACTCGTCACCGCCTTCCTTGATGGCCATGGAGACCATAGTCCTAGCTGACTTATAATCATCCATGGTAACAAGATCAAGAACACTCTTCACTGCCGGACCGTCTCGCTCATAGAAAATATCAAGAAGGTCTGGCCTGTTTCGTTCAACGACGTAGTGAAGTGCAGTGTAGTGGTCCATATCGGCTTGGGCGGAGGTAGCCCCAAGCTGAAGCAGAGTGTCAATAACATCCCTCGCTTTCTCGTTCTTCAATGCCGTTGCAAGAACTGTAGATAGAATCGCCTGGTTGGAAACATGCTTTGTGCCGATCTTGATTGGTAGCAGGACATCTGCTCCATACTCTCCCACCAACATGCGGATCACAGGTATGTGACCGCCCATGATGGCGAAGTGCAGTGCAGTGCATTGCAGATCCCAGGCAACGACATTAATATCGTAGAAGTCAGGCGCATCCTCATCATCTAGAATATCATTCGACTCTCCTAGTGCAGCCCCCTTAACTTTAGTGAAGCCTTGAGTCTCCGAGTCGTTATCACTATCATTTTCCGTCTCAACCTCCATTCCTGAGCCTTCCGAATCGCTTCCGTCGGCATCTTCCATCTCCTCGTCGTCATCTCCGGATTTCTTTGCGGCCAATTTAGCAGCTCGAAGTTTATCCTCCTTTTCTGCCTCTTCCTCTTCATTCGCAAGACTCTTGTCCATCAAGATCTTTATGATATCGGCATGGCCCAGTTGTGCAGCAATATGCAAAGCACAGCGTCCATCAAGGAGTCTGGCAATGATTTTAGCACCATTGTCAATGAGAACCTTGACAATGTCTGCATTTCCATTGATGACAGCCAGGTGAAGCGGCGCCCTGCCGACATAATCTCTCGTGTTGATGTCGTTGCCTTCTTGCTCGCACCAGCCCGTAATGTAGTCGATATCACCATCGACAATTGCCTGACAAAGCATTTGGGTGTTCCCAACATATGCCATCTCAGTCCAGTCATCGGTGGTGATAGGATTGAAACTACCAATCTCCTGCCGTCCTGGGTCATCTTTGACGAAGATAAGGGGTCCTGTGATGTAAGTCTTGCTCTCTTCCTCTGCAATCTCAATCTCCTCGTCTGTCTTGGGAACGGGGCAGAAGCCACAGCAATCTCCCAAAACATCCTCAGCAGTGCCAAAGAAGCAGGGGTGACGATGTAGTTCAACTTCGCGCTCCTTGGGGCGATTCCATTCGGAGTTGAGGAGGAGATCCTTGGTGTACAACACTCGTTCAATTTTGCGCGCAGTGAATCGTTTTCCATACGGCACACCAATGGTGTGGTAGTTGGAAACCTGGTCTTCTTCGGCCCAATCGGCAACTTCGTCCTCTTGCTCATCCTTAATATTTCCAAAGAGCTTGTGCTGGTCTCTGACGTGTCTATCGACAGCGGGGCGGCCTCTCTCTTTGCGTCGCTCATCAGTATACCCCTCGCGGTCTACGGTCCGGGGGAGCTTCTCCAGAACTAAAAGTCTGGAAAGACCAAGCGTCTTCCGGAATGCCCTCTCAAAGATCGTGGGGTCGACGCGTGATCGGTCAAGGTCCGGCCAGTGAACTTCAAACCCACGGTGAGAGTATTTCGAAAGACGATTCTCATATGATGGAGACCGACGGGTAAGGTCAATAGTATTGGTCTGCGTTGAAAACGCCGCAAGCGCTCTGGGGCTGCCATAAACCTCCTTACCATCGTACGCGACACAGGCGCAGTCAACATCGAAACCGGTGATGATCTGAGAGATGGAATCGTAGAGACGCAAGACAATCTGAACGTGGCGAGTCGGATATTGACTGGCAATAGTTATAGCGTTCTTCGTGCGAATAGTCGTTACTTCGTGAAGAATGCTGTCCTTGACCGTTGTCTCAATGCGCTTAATCTTCTGCAGTCCCTCCTCCTCCGTAAGGCCGTAGAGGAAGAGATCCACATCACTTGCCGGGGCAAGCCGATCATGATAGTACTCCCTCAAGCTCTTCTTGCTTCCAGACCACTTCTCTGGGACGGGTAATAGCGCAGTCGTAACGGAACTCCCTGCAGCAACAACATTGCTCCAGTCCAGTTCGCTCAATGACGACTCCGAGAAGAGGTTAAAGTTGCTCTGGAACTCCTTCAAGGAGGTAACTACAGCTGGAGAACCATCGGGCTTACGATCAGCCTTGCTGAGGCCCATAATATACTTCTCCTTCTCAGCCTCCGTCTCATCATCCAGCTTGCGCGCGCGGACCTTCAGAGCCGACTCCTGCCCAGCATAGATGGGGACGGTATTGATGTGCCCATCTTTCAGGACCGGGTCATCTGGCTGCTGGGCATAGAACTTCCTGAGCTCCGCCTCGTAGGCGTGATACGGCTCGAGAAGCTCAGGCACTAGCGTGTCCTTTGCTTGAGAGAAATAGGAGGCAAAATCTTTGACGGGCGCGGGTAGGGGGGGCAGTTCCAGGACAGCCTCGATCTCTGGGCTGCCGCTTTTCTGGCGCATGGTGTTGGGGTTTTGTTCGACGGCGAGCTTCTCTAGATTTGTGCGGAGAGAAGGCATGGCGTAAAGGGATGTTGACACACGTTATAATATGTCGTAGAAAGCTCTCAAAAAACAGAAAGAAGGCTTGATCAGAGAGGTGGGGGGGGGCTGCAAGTATCAATAAATGGGGGGATTTGTTGAGTGCTGAATGTGAGGACAGGCTGGTATTCAACAAAGCATTCGATTCAAATGAAGGAGAAGATGAATGGAGAACAGGAGATGAAAGGATATTGAAGCTACATATATACAGATATCCTCTCAAAACATTTTAAGCCACGGCCTTGAGGCAGAATCTCAGCGGAGCGATCAGTTCTCATTGACACCACCACTGAACCCTGTGGCGCTGGCGGTGAGACATGTCCATCACAGTGATGTCGCGCCATGGCGCCATGGAAACGGACGTTCGTGTTGGCATCCAAGTTGCATCTTGTAGGCAACCATGGGTGCCTTTTTCATTTCTCTTGGATCCTCTCCACAACATCCAGGCTGCCTCAACACAGACAAGGGTAGGTAATTGAAATCACGGGAACACGGGCCGGTCTTAGTCGCACGTGTCGCGAACTTTGCCAATGGAGGAGCTGAGCTGAAAGGGCGGGGATCCCTGTCACAAGGCTCACAAGGCAGCACATCCACTCGCTGGCCCACTCTCGCACGATTTCCGTGCCGTAACCCTGTCAGCTCGACGATACCTTTCTATCTCTCCACCTCTCCACCTCCATTGGAAGGATGTGGGACAAATAGAAGGGAAGGCACAATGGGGAATGAAAGAAACAGCCGCAGGAACCGAGGAACGGAGGAAGTCATGACAGCGAACAATAAGAACCCTCCCAAGAAGACACGATGAGACTGGAAAGAGCGATCCCATCACCCTTTCCGCCCCCATCGTAGAACGACGCGATTGCACAGAGAGGATCCTTTACTGAGCTTCTAGAGCACAGCATGAAAGCTCACATTGTTGCCCATGCCCAATGATATGCTCAAGCAATCTCCTCCCTATTCTCTTTGCCCATCATGCCATCCACGCCATCTACACCTCAGCCCACCCCCCAATCCCCCCCTCCACCCACCTCCCCAACCTCTCTCCCCCTCCCAAAACCTGAATCTCTGCCTTCAAATTCAAAAACAACATACATTGCACCTCCCTCCTCCACTCCTCCTCCCCCACCTCCCCCATCGCCGGATGCCTCATCAACATGCTCCTCCCCAGTCTCCTATCCCTTTTCGTCAGTGTCAAAATCCCCGGCACCTCGCCTCCCCGGTCTTCATCCTGCCGAATCTGCGTACCCACAGCACTCTCGAGTTTCACGCCCAGCCACCGCAAGCCGGGGACTGCTAATCCGTCGTTCTGGTGCGCTAAGCTCGCTGAGCCGTGCGCGTAGGTGCTTAGAATCGATATTCCGTGCGGATCATAGTCGGTAAGTACATAAATCGGTGGACAGCCCCGCGTCGAGGACAGCAGATGCAGAAGGGCGCGGGTAGCGATGTCGGGGTACCCCTTTGCAGTTACAAGAAGACCAGGGCCGGCGCGGGATGTGCGTGCGTGGTGGGTGGTGGAGAGAGTGCGGAAGGTAGCTTCTTTTTCAATCACAAGAATCCAGTTGCAAGATGGGAAGGAGAGGTGTGATATATCTTTTGTATTTGGTACGAGGATGCCCTGGGGAGTTGTCAGTATTGTCTTGGACCAGTGGGTGTGGGGAAGGGGGGGACCTCGTTCTCGGAAGAGCAGTCGACGATTTGGCCATCGTGCTTGTGGATGTGGAGGGAGCCAGAGAGGAGGCCTTTGGCTGTGGCTACGATGTTGAGGGCGTCGCGGGGGATGTTGAGGGTGAATGCCAGGTCGTCGATGTAGCGGTCGACGATTGCTTGTTTGATGAAGAGGTCGGGGTCGCGGTAGTAGATGTCCCTTTGGTGGGTTAGCAAGGGACCGGATTATGACAGGCTGAATGTCGAGATGCTTCTGTTGATATCCCAAGGATATCCCAAGGCTTGGGTGGGAGAATTATGAGTGTAGATTTATGAGAAATCACCTGCCTTTTGGTGGTGACAATCCCAGTAACCAGAGCTTCATGAGATAACTCCAATATTCGGAGCAAGGCCGCTATAAAATCCAACCGTGAGCATGGCTCAACCTTCCTTTGGATCCCAGAAGCACATACCAAACTTCCAAGCCTCTTTCTGAGTCTTTCCAGGAAAAGTGATCTCCTTTGTCTCAACATTCCTGGTATTTCGAATCGCCCCCGAGGCAGCGTCTATAGTTTGCTGACCATTCCCCCCTCTCGACTTGATGTGGAGAACGAGGCATTTCTTTTCATTTATAATGCAATCGAAGAGCGACTCAAAAATGACTTCGATTTTCGTTATGACTTCTCCGGCTTGGAGGTTATTATTTCTTGGAGCTCCTTGGGAGATGGCTAGGCTGTCAGCGTAGTCTTCTGGAGGTGATGGGGCCAGTTGATTCTGAGATATTAGTTTGTCATATGGTGAGTTAGGTAGCAAAGAGTTATCTGATGAAGCATTTTTCCAGAGGTTAAGAAAGTTATAATCCATTGCTGGGTATCTTTTGGTGGATAATTTATTCCATTGATGAGAAATATACATTCTGGCATAAATATTTAAAAGGCCAGCATAGGAAGAAGATATTCTCTAAAGAGAAAATATTCCCGTTGCCATTTTCGGGGTTTTTATGATCTTGATTCGCTTGGTAGACACTGACAGCGCTAATACGTGGGACGCGCTCCCTTGAGATAGTGTTGTTGGAAGGACCGAAATATTGCGACAGTAGACTACAGTATATAGAACGAATGGATTGAATTGAATGACTACACTACCTACGGAGCCTACGTATTATTTATATCATTAGGAGGGCCTACCCAAAGCCCCGAGTAACAGAAGGGTTTCAATGCGTCAGAGTTTGAGGCAATCTGCTTACGCCAAGCGCCAATTGGGGAGCCCGACGATAGCACTGGGAAAGCTGCCATTCTCATTCCCTCAACAGCCTCCTTACGTAGTCTGTAGGAAAGTGATATATAGTGAGAAAAATCGACTAGTGAGCTGGATACCACCAAACTCACTGTCGCCTTCACCGAACGATTCAGCCACCGGTCTTTCCGGGTCATTGTCCTCTGCCCCTAATGGGCAGAGAGTCGAAGACTCGGTCGTTAGGCCGATGTTGCGGCCGAACGCTTTTCTTGTCATCGGTGCGGTGTTGCTGCCGCCCGACTCTCATTGTCGCTACGGTGTTGTCGCCACACGACTTCCTTCCAAATCCTCGTTCCTGTCGCTAAGGACGAAATCAAAACGGAACACCAAGGGTTTGGCGCTCCCAAAATCGGTCGTCTGCGGTAAACAGCTCTGTCTGCCAGACGGCAGGCCATCGTGGAGATCACTGTCTCCTTCCGCGCGGGAGGGACGGAGATTTCTAGCCTCTACGGGGCTTGTTGTAACCGGCCCCCTTTGGCACGGGACGTAAGATACTACGTCAGCGGCACTGCATAGAGGACTAGGCTGGGCGTTAGGATTCCTGGCTGTAGGTAAAGCCGGGCGTCAGGCTTCATGACTGCATAGAAGCCGGGCGTTTGGATCATCGCCAGCCTCAGCATAGTCGGGCGATTTACCCCGCTCTGCACTGGTGCCAGGCTTCGTAAATCAGCTCTGGGCCTGAGCTGGCATTGAGAGCCGGTCTACAAATAGTACGTAGGCCCCGTAGATATGCTAATTAATTCAATTCTATTCTATGGTCTATATACTGCAGTGTTCTGAGTGCACCACCTGCATCCTATTTGAAGTGATAGTTCCACAGCTTGTGGGATACATGGCCATTTTCGCTACGTATCCTAGAGCGTTGGTAATCCTGCAACAGGGCTTACTACACAAGATACCCTTTGATGCGGCGCGAGAATGCGGGGAGAGTTATGATGGTCACGGAGGTCATGATGCCAGTCCAGGTAAAGTAAGCTATATTGAAAGGAAGGAAGAAGGTGAGGCTATTCCTCATTATATACAGCTGTGTGATTAGCGATCCATTGTAACTGTGTTGGAGGGAAAGGAGGACATGGGCGTGGGGATTCGGTGGAAATTAGGCCCTGAGACACCCGTATTTCCCAGGGCGACCGTCCAGCTCCCATACTGGGTGGCCGTGCTGATCTGCTGCAGCCACCGAAATCCTCCACCGCTCAGGTGATTACCACCCAGCCGTACGGGGTTTTTCCCCATTCCCTACATATAGAATACGTAGGCCCGTAGGATAGTATAGGAATTCAATTGTTTCATTTTTACTCTAAATTACCATATTTACTGTGAGCGTTCTGTTCCGTTGCACCCGGGATTAATTACGGTCGCCGGAGATCTACATACAGTCCTGGCCCTACATCCCCGGACCGTAGAATTACTCCCAACAAACTGTCAGTTGAATACAGGTCACATGCTCGGAAATATGTGACACATTATAAGAAGAGTATATATTCATTCAGCCTAGCGCCCCTACTCGTGCGGCCCCAAAAGTTTCCACAAGGTCTGTGCGTAATAAGTGGGGCGTGTAAGTACTTGGAGAAAATGCATGTACATACTCTACTCGTACTATTGATCTACCCAACGAAAGTTGTTCCCCCCATTGACTGCAATACACCGCTCCAACTTGTCCTTAAACGAAGCACATAATTGTGTAGATTTCCCATCCATTTTTTTCCCCCATTCTTCCTCAAGAAATACCCGTGCATGAGCTCTCTCAAACTTCCCTCCGTTTAATGGTGTATAGCCATCAACCTGATCCTTGAGATAATCAAAGGCATTTTCAATAGGGTGCAAATCGGGAGAGTTTGGAGGCCAAAATTTCACTCTATAGATTCCCTCCTTCTTCATATAATCTTCCAAATCGGTGAGCCTTCAAATGAACACTTACATTATCATCCACAAACCATACTCGTTTTGTAGGATGTAAAGCCTTTACTTTTCGAAAGTAGGGGAAGAGAAGAGGAATAAGAACCATCTCTCGATATAGAAACCAATCAATCCTGCCCTTTGAAACTTCTTGCCCTTCTGATTGCCATCCTCTACTCCATGTCTCTATATCTCCAAACTCTTGTGAAGCAACTTGTGCCTTTTTCCATTTGCTTTTGCCATTCCGAATATCTGCATTTAGAGTTTTCCATATATCCGTACTCAAGAGTTCCAACTGTTGTTGCTCTAACAAGTTCATTCTCTGCTTTTGATTTCCAATATGCATTTATCTCTCGTAGTTTCTGCACATGTATCTGCTTCTCTTCTATACTTTCAGGAATCCATGAATGAGAAGGGCGTAAGATAGAGGTTTCTGAACTCATTGTTCCCCAAAACATAACTTGAAATAAAGATTTCTTCTGTTGAATTGCCATGCTCTCTGCTGTTTGACCCCGTTGAACTGTTATCTGTCGTTTCTTATGTGGATTCCCTCTGAAATTGATATATATGATTCGTCTGAGAAAATAAAAATTGATCCAGCTTCAATGTCATACTGACATTCGTTGCACTCAGTTTGCTATCAAACTCAAGAGCAAACTTGGAAATCTCCTCCTCAAACCTACAAGTCACTATACATATTTTGGCTTATCACACCAACAACAAGAGCAATACTACTCAACGGTTGCTACAACCCTCTATGATTCATTACACGTCATTGCTCCTTAGTTACTGGGCCGATATGACCACATAGCATATCTCTACAACCCTCTATGATTCATTACATGACATCGCTCCTTAGTTACCCACAAGATTGGTTAAGTTATGACATAATTTGTCTATAGGGGTACTCTGACCTTGGACCTCCTTTCACTTCCTATAGGCTAGGAACCTAGGAGATGGTTCTATGGGATTTGTCATACTGACATTCGTTGCACTCAGTTTGCTATCAAACTCAAGAGCAAACTTAGAAATCTCCTCCTCAAACCTACAAGTCACCATACATATCTTGGCTTATCACACCAACAACAGAAGCAATACTACTCAACGATTGCTGCAAACTCTTCTACTACATCTGTTTATGCTACATACATCACGGCATATCATTTGGACACTCATTGAACAAGTTATTAAGAAAATCTCCTCCTTAAGGGGGTGGGCCAATACAACCACATGGCATATCTCTACCAACTAGAGGCCTAGGAACATGAACGATAGCTCTAGAAGCTTCTACAACCCTCTATGATTCATTACAGGTCATCGCTCCTTAGTTACCCACAAGATTGGTTAAGTTATGACATAATTTGTCTATAGGTACTCTGACCTTGGACCTCCTTTTCACTTCCTATAGGCTAGAAACCCAAGAGATGGTTCTATGGGATTCTCTTACGTTCACTACATGATTAGCAAGCTAGTTGTGGGTCGCACTTGATTTCTAATACATTTACCAAGCCTGGTTAGTCATGGAAAGTCATGGAAAATGAGAGAACTACACTCCTTTGGCATAAATAGGATTGCCCTTTCCTTAAGAAAGGGCAAGCAGGCAATACAGTAAATCGACTAGCACATACTTCTACGTCTTTTCCAAGCTTCCAAGCATTGATCTTGTTATTCTCTGTTTTTGAAAAGTCAGTGAGGTGCTAACCTCTGACTTACCCCTGAGTTCTCAGACTCAACATTTGTTGCAACTTGTCTAAACCACTTCACCACATCATACACCTGATTGCTGCGTTGTGGAATAGTCTAAGCTACAACCCTTTGGCTCTGTTTCCTAAGACAGTGTGTTGTCTTAGTAAATTCATCCCTTCCTTGGGTGGCTAGATTCTCATATCTGGTGCACCCACCATTACAGGATTCTCTTATGTCGACTACAGTTACCAAGCCTGGTTAGTCATGGAAAGTCTTGGAAAATGAGAGAACTACACTCCTTTAGCATAAATAGGATTGCCCTTTCCTTAAGAAAGGGCAAGCAGACAATACAGTAAATCGACTATCACATACTTCCACGTCTTTTCCAAGCTTCCAAGCATTGATGTTGTTACTCCTTGTTTCTGAAAAGTCAGTGAGGTGCTAACCTCTGACTTATCCCTGAGTTCTCAGACTCAACATTTGTTACAACTTGTCTAAACCACTCCACTATATCATACACCTGATTGCTGTGTTGTGGAATAGTCTAAGCTACGACCCTTTGGCTCTTTTTCCTAAGACAGTGTGTTGTCTTAGTAAAATCATCCCTTCCTTGGGTGGCTAGATTCTCACCTCTGGTGCACCCACCATTACAATAATCACCGTCGTCAATACCATCGGTGGCTCTTACGACAGTTATATACAACTCAACGCCCACAGACCCAACTTACTTACGAGTATGATAAGTTCAACTGGAGCTTACGGGCATGGGGTAGCCATACTCCTGGACGGGTAGCTCATAAATTCCGGTAGGCTTTTAGGTTATAACTCTATATGGTTCTTATTACTCACAGTTAACAGGTTTTCCATTGACGAAATAGCTCGGCTTGTGCCACTGCTAAAGCTTCATACAATAGTCTGGAGCAGGCGGGTAAACCCAGACCCAGAGACTGCTCTTTGCGTAGTCTTGGCCCGTCTTGCGTATCCAGGGCATTGGACAAGCTTGACCTTTTTGGACGGTCTCAGGCATGGCTTTCAATAGTCTTTAACGACGTAATGGGTCACTAATTTGGTACACGAATTCGAAGGCTTACTCGAATGGCACCCATACCTTACATACAACAAGCTACTAAGCTTTGAAGAGGCTATAGCAGATAGCGGTGGCTGTAGCCAAATATGGGGGTTTGTCAATGGTACATTCCAAGGGTTTTGCCGACCAGCAGGAGACTCGGAAGTCCAGCGGCTATGGTATCCTGGATATAAGAAGAAGCACAGAATGCACTTCCAGGCTATTGTAACCCCTGATGGACTTGTATCATCCTTGATTGGGCCGTATAATGGACCAGCTAACGACTGGCGTATTTGGGGGGAATCAGGCTGCGTTGGAAGGATTCGGCATATTATGGATGGTAAACGGGAGTTATACCTATATGGAGACCCAGCTTACCAGTGTATGGAAGGAATTATGGCTCCGTATACTTGTGCACGTGGTTACCGATATCTTCCTTCTAAGGAAAAGCAGTTTAATGCTTCTCTATCATCTGTGAGAATTGCAGTTGAAAACACCTTTGGATTAACGCAACAGTTATGGATGTACGCAGCTTTTGATAAAGGGCTACAGTCACAGTCGCAGCCTGTAGCAGCTCACTTTAAAGCTGCGATACTATTAATGAACTGTTATACTTGTATACGGGGTAACTTGATTGGAACAAGGTTTCTGGTGCCTCCACCAACAGTAGAGGAATATCTTCTTTGTACTAGCTAGGATATATATGTATTACTTGACTCTATCCAACCCTCTACCCCGTTATATTTGCTACTATCCGTACTTTCAATTGGAACGCTTCGTCGGATAGGCCCATGTAATGCCTGCTGAAGAAGAGATATCATTGTAGTTTGGCCTTGCTTCAATTCAGCTTGGCCTTCCTGTAGTTCCCAGATCTGATGATCGACTTGCTGTAACCGCGAAGTAATTATAGGATTATCAATGTTCTCGTTCTGACTTTCCTGCTGCCCTCCCTGCCCTCTTGCATTACTCTGTCTATACTGATCCTTCACCATACTCATGAATGACTCAAAGACAGATAATACTGGGTCGTCAGCCTGTGTATTTAATCGCTCTTCAAGGAGCAATTGAGTCTGAGATGGTGACAA